AGGAGTATATGATGGACTGATTAAGGAAAGAACTTACCGATGGTTCTTGTTGGTGTTTTTTGGTGTCTTTGTGCTTCCGTTTGTTAGTCTTGGAAGCCTGCACTGTTGATGGACTCGATGCATCCTCAGGACCAGGGTTGTTCTTCTGTGGTGTACAAACAGGGTTTTGATTGGAGCTAGGTAGGGCTCGGCGGCTATCAGGCAATGGGGCAATCATGTTGGCTGATTTTCGAACAACTGGTGGTCGGCTGGATTGATGTGGCATAGCAGGAACTTCGGGATTCGCATCAGTCTCAGTAGTTGAAGGAGATTGAGGTTGAGTAGGTGGATGTGCTGAGCTGGACCTTGAGCTGGACCTTGATTGGTCCGTTGTTGGTGGTACGGAAGTCTGGGGTTGATCAAACTTGAAGGTCAACTTCATCCTGATACCTAGATGGAGCTGCAGGTTTGGGCTGGAATAGTACACCACATGCCCGGGCCTACTTTGGGACCAGGTGTGGGAGCTGTAATGTAAGCTCATATGTACAAGCAGCGCAATGCAACTCAGCGGTAAGCAACGTAGGCAGCAATGCCACTTGCAACGAGTTTTGCAGCTCATCGTGGGCAACACAGCGGTGACCAAATGCAGCCCTCATACTTTTGTTGCGCAGCGTTCTGCTGCGTGCTGCCACAGTGCAACCAGTCCAGTGTTGCCACATGCGGAAGTTAGATCCAGGTATCTAGGGAATCATGATTTATGAAATGATGGTGATCAAGAATAAGAATAAGAAAGAGGAGGCACTATATGTGGTCAAGTCATACGATATCAACTTGGCCACAACTGTTGGTCTCCCGCTAGCTACAGACTAAGTGTTGATGTAATCATCAAGAATGATTACTTCAATTGATTTGAATTCAGAAAGATGGAAGGAATACAACACAACCACCTATCTATAGTTTTTGAATGCAAAGCTTGAGTGCTTGCCCAAACAGACGGCAAACAAACAGCTGATTCACAATGGCAACAGTTTCTACTTTAGTGTTATAACTAGCCATGTTGTGCGGCGGGCGCCACCCTGTAGCCCTGGATGATGATGATGTTCCTTTGCGATGGTGTTGGAATTGGTTGGAATTGGTGTTGATTGGGTGTTGGGCTGTGCTTGGGTTATTGGAGCTGTTGAGAGCTGTTGGAAATGAAGGCTTGATTGATCACTGAGCTTGATTTGGGTGTACTCATATTGGTCTGAGGGCACTTATTTGATCCTAGTATGCGCAGCTCAGATTGATCTAAGTGATCCAAGGACTTTGGCCCTGAAAATCATGACTCAATGTGAAATCTGAAGAGCTTTAATCTAACTTAACTAAGTCCCTTGTGCAGAGGTTTTAAGATAGCAAGTGATCCCAGAGGCGCAAGGGGCTTACATGGAAGGTGTGGATTTTGGCATGGAAGTTAATGAAATTTAGTAGAGGAAATCTAAGATTTCCTCCTCATCAAAACTCTGATTATTGTTTTTTGGTGAAAAAATTCAGGGAGAAACGGCCACTTCTTCTCAAGAGATCGCTCTCCTCAGAGTTTTCAACAGAAAATCAGGGAGAAAGTTGTGCTTGAGAGGGAAACATAGTTCTCATGGAATCTAAGAGCTGGCTGCGGCCTGTATTATCAACCTGAATTTCAACTCACTGTAGTCAAGAGTCAAATTTCATGAGCACAATGTTTTCATTGCAAGGGAAACTTTTGCCCTGATTTTCTTTTGACATTTCTGAAGAGAGCAATCTCTTGATAAGAAGCAGGCGCTTCTCCCTGACCAATTTTTAAAAAGTTTGGTAATTGGGATTTTGATGGAGAGGAAATCGTAGATCTCCTCTACTAAATCCCATTACCTTCCGTGCCAAAATCAAGACCTTTCATGTAAGTCCCTCGTGCCTTGGGCATCACTTGGCATTTTAAACCTCTGCACAAGGGACTTAGTTAAGTTAGAGATTTAATGAACAAATACACCATATTGTGATGGATTTTTTTTTGACTGAGATGAGGACTTAGAGAGCTCTCAGAAGTCAATTGAAAATTGATCTAGATGATCTCTATTGATCTAGTGTGAACGGTTGGTCATGGTAGTGCCAGGAAAGTGCTTCTTGTTGTTGGTTGTACTGTTGGTTTAGTGCGCCAGAGGTGCAAATGGATGAGATGTGTTACAAAAAGCAAATCCCAATCTCTGCACCACAAACATGGGTTATGGGTTACAACTTTTAGATGATGATTGCTAATGAGAAAGAGATAAAACTCAGATGTAACATATCAATCTTTGGTTACAACATGTTTTTAGATGATGATTGAAAATGAGAACAAACAAAAACAACTCAGCATGATGCAATGAAAACAAAAGAAAGTGATGACAATATATCGATCACAATTACAACAATGTGAACAATGCATCAGGTGTGCTTCATAATATCTGATGTTGCGCACCAACATGCAGACAAAAAAATTTCATAAATGAAAGCCCTGAAAGACAGTGATCAAAAACACACAAACTGTACACACAAAGTATAAGTGCAAAGGTATGGATACATGTATATGATGAAGAACTCTCATTTCATTGAAACATGCCAAAGTCAGGCATGGGTCAATTGGACCTTCAACTCCCAACTATCTGTGATCAAGCTTTGGGTTCAATAGGAGGTGATCCTACCGGGTAATACAAAGGTAGTTGAGTTAACCCTATACTGTGGCACTATGTGGGTAGACACAAAACACTGTAATCATCCTGTGTATGGGTTGTGCAAGAACCAAGGCCTACTTGGTTATTTCCAAAAAAGATGAACTGGTCAGTTTTATTGGCTCTTTCAAAGCCACAAACTAATGCTTCTTGATCATGGTATTTGTATGTCCAGTGGGTGAAACATGCAAGAAGACGGCCAAGGAAATTGTCCCTGTTGTGCCTGGTGGCAAAGTCACAGTCGGAGTTGATGAATTTTGGAATTCCACTATGCAATGTCTCACACAAATTGATTCAGCAAAAGATTGGCTCATTTCCTACATGATGGGTTCCAATCTGTTTCTGCAAGACTAACTGCACAATCTAATGACCACAAATCAGGTGGTTAGTTTTGGTTGTATGCAAGCAAAAAGGTGCTGTCATTTTGGACTCACATGCAAAGCAAACATAGTACATCTTTCTTCACGAGTTAAATGAACCCGGCCGGGAACAACCACCCTGAACTTCTTGAGGAGGCAGACAGCATGAGCTAACATTTGAGAGAACCACAGATGACCACTGAAATTTTTTCCCCAAGTGTCCAGCGCAGTTGCATCCATTGGAATGGACTTGTAACCATTGTCAATTTGAGACTCAACTTTAGTGGTAAAGTTTATAAATCTAGAGATGAATGAAACTTACAAAATGTATCTCTTCAAGTTGGAAAGTAGTTTCTAACTAGAGAGGAATTATTTTTCAATTCTTTGTAAAATAATGATGTGAAGAAACCACAATTGTTTGTTGCTGTTGTCTATGGTGCGGAATCAAACTGCTGCCAGTTTACTCGTGAGTGCAATCACTTCCAAATCTGCTAAGATGAATACATGTTCAATGTTTAAAGTTCTTAGGTGACACTTTAGCATTAGCTTTGATAAAACAGATTTTTATCAAAAAGAAGGGTAAAAGGAGTAAAGTAGGATTAGGGACTTTAGTCAAATAACGGTTGGTTAAACAATCTGTAACCTCATAGGGAAAAGTTAGATAGAGAGATAGAAAGTAAGAAGAAACAGAAAGCTGTTTAATAACTCGGAGTTAAAGCTGAAAGAACAATCTTAAGAGCAGAAGGCTTAGAGAATAACAATGGGGTATTGATAAACAGAAATCTAGGAATGGGTTACTGGTGATCTTTTAATAGTTCAGAAGTGATATTGGTTTTGGTTTATTTGTTAAGTTGGAAAAAGATGCCAATTCTGTTTTTCGTGATCATAGCTTGATATCTAACTGATCCTGTTGTGATTGAAAAAGTTGTTGCTAGTTAAACTTAGTCAGGGTCCTAATTGTTTTATTGTTATAAGGGTTGGACTGAGCCCTGGTCAGGGCTGATGAGTTCTTGAAACTTGTTATGCCTGGTCAGGGCTGATGAGTTCTTGAAACTTGTTATGCCTGGTCAGGGTTTTCTGATAACACCTTTGTTTGGTTATTATCTAGATTAGTAATTATCCTTTTAATTTGTTCAAATCAATTAGGAATGTAGTTGTTATATGACATATTTCTTGATACATTGTTATGTAGAGTACATTCTAAATGTTGCACTCTTGAGACTAGAGTGTGAGAGGTGTAAGTGATATTTTTATATGTAATTTTGAGTGTTCAAAGATGGTCAGGTTGTGTTGTCAATACTTTAGGAGTTTCCTGTGCAGCAGGAAACTTCCTTCAGTTGACAACAATGGTGACACACCACTGAGTAGGTGCTTTGACTGTCCCATTGGTGCGGCTGGACATTTTCAACATCTTTATAGACTGGTTTACAAGCCCACTTGTATTGGAACACATCAAGGGTAGTACTGGGTAGATTTTTAAGCGGCACTAATCCAAAAACGGGTGAAAACATTGGTCGGAAAAACTAAGTTGTGTATGACCAAGTCAGCAAGGGATTCACAGTCTATGTAGGTTGGTTGGTTAGTGGTTGATGTTACCGTGGGAGGAGGAGGGGTTAGAGGAATGAGACAAGGAATCTGAATCAGATGAGGAGGATCCATCTCTTCTGTTCCTTTGGAATCCTTCTTTGGGCGGTTTCCATAAGCCTTCTTATCCTCTACTTCTCTCTTCTTAGAATTTTTAGGATCCTTCTCCTTCTTTCTGTCCTTTCCCCCCTTCTCCCTCTCTTTCTTCTTTCCTCCCACTTCTCTCTCAATTCTATCTATCTTGGCTCTAATCAACTGAACATCTCTTAGATCTCCTTTCTGAACCTCCTCCACCAACTTGTCTGTCAACAATCTCTCATCTCTTTGATCTTGATCATTTGGCTCTTGACATCCTTCATTTGGCAATTGCTGCCTTGAGTCCTTGATATCTGGATGACAAAAAAAACCACATCACCCTTGTCAGTTCAACCTGCAAAGTACAATCTTTTGGCAACAACAGGAGCCTGCCTGGAGCTGGCCAATCCAAAACATGATTCAACACCCTTTAGGAGTGCAACGCCCCAAGGGGACACCAATTGGATTGGAATTCCTTCTCGTCAAGCCAGATGAGGACTAATCTGCAACCTGGAGCAAAAAAAGGCTCAACAGAGACAACCACCCAGGAAATATGAAGAAATCATTACTATGAATTTCAGTTTACAGTGGTATTTCTTGATCAGGTGCCCATAGCCCCTTTTCTTCTCTTTCCCTCCATCTAGGTTCAAGGACTGTAAGCTCCGTTCTTCACTCTTCAATCTCTTCTTCTGCTTTCCTTTTGATCTTGTCTTTGTCTTTGTCTTCCTAGCTGATTCCTTCAAACTATCTCCTGAATCACTTGACAACCCAGGGCCATCCTCTTCACTCCTCTCCAAACACTCATCTCCTAAGTGCTCCCCTCCATGTTCACTTCTATCAATGTGTTTGAAGTTGAAGTTTGGTAGATCACTTCCTTCCGGAGTGTGCGGAATCTGCCCATCTCAAGGCTCAGGTAAAAGATGGTTCCTGAGGAGGAACTTTTGTTTTGCCCTTCTAGCTCTACTTTCTGCTTGCTCTTTCTCCTTCAGTGCTTGCGCGGCCTTTGTCTCTTCCACTTGTCTCCTCACCTGAATCATGTGATTTGATCTATATTTTATCAAAAACTTTTTCATTGCCAGTTGTCTCCACATTCACCTGATGAAAAATAGAGGAAGAAAAATTGAACAATTGTTCTTGAATGTTGACTATGTAGAAGTAAATAGTTTTATCTATTCAGGTTTATTAAGGATTGAATTTGGATGAGAAAGAGAATAAAGCACTTGTAGTGTCCCAGAGCGCAGACTGAAGAGAGAAGGGGTGCTATAGAGAGATGAGTCTAGATGAGTGTAAAAACTCTAACTCTCTGGTCCCACCGCTTCCCCATATGCCTCCTGTGACAGGCGTGTCACGCCTGTCACACAGCCGGGGCACTTTGAGTCCGGGACCAGTCTGCGTCTGTTACCCGTCTGTCCTTTCGAGAATGGACTACATACAGAGGGTACTCAAAGTAAGTATGTAGCGCTACATACTTTTTGCTACATACTTTTTGTTGGCGGCAAAAAAGAAAAAAATATACTTTTGGCCTTGTCTTCCCCGCCAAAAAAAGTATATAGCAAGAAGTATGTAGCGCTACATACATTACTTTGAGTACCCTTAGTCTACAGAGATCAGTTTGGCTCCTTTTATGGCAACTGGTTACGTCAGGACCCCGGCAAGCTCCAGGGGAACTATCCAACCCAAACGGAATGGATTGGGGGTCAAAAAAAAACACTGACGTACCAACGAAAACATTTTTTTGGTTTTTTTTGGAGCTAAAATCATGTTTTTGAATTCAGACCTACAGACGTGAGAGGTATGGTTTTGTCTTGAGCCAGAAAAAAAGGCCAAAAACACACTCTTTTGAACGTACGTACCAACCAAAAATGAATGGATCATTCTCCTGAGAGATTTTTGGTGATTTTTGCTCTTTGAACCTACCAACAAAACAGGAATTGTTTACGCTCAATTTTTGGGTTTTTATACCATGTCACAGGGTATTGGTAAGGTCAATCTGGGTGGTTTTAGGTTGGATGGTTCCCCTGGAGCTTTCCGGGGTCCTGTTACGTGTGCTACTCATGGTGGCCCATGGGCCTGAATTTGCAGATTTTCCAGCCAAGGCAGGAAAAAAGAGGTGAGCACTGTGGGTGGCCCTGACTGGCGCTGAGCTATCCCACTGTGATGCTCCCCGCTCGTATGAAAGAGAAATAACAATCTAAGAGAAAATGAGTCTTGCACCACGTGAAACTTAACCCCGTGCTTGGCAGCAGGATGGTGGGCGGGAAAATAAAACATTGACAATTCTAACTGAACTAATAACTAATAACAGATAAAAAATTGACAAGATAGAATTTTTAAATATAATTTGCTGAAATGAAAATTTGTAACTTTTTTAATATTACTGCTAACACTATTTCTGAGAGAAATTGGATGAAGGAGACAACAAAGGAGAGCAAAGGGAACATGGATTGTGTCTGCTTGTGGTGACCAGGATCCATTGGGGGGATCTGTCACTCGCTTCCTACGTTGCACCTCTTTTGAGAGTAGCTCGTACCTGTAACCAGTTTGCCGAACTGTCATCCGCCGTTTCACGGGTTCCACTTTGTTACATAACATCCTATGCCAACCTCGAGGCTCGGGGAAGTTGGGAACTGCAACAATTTGCCATTTACGGAAAGATCTCTCCGAGAAATTCAACATCTCGTTTTTTTACGCCGCTTTTGACTCCTAATCGAACATCAAAGGCAGTGGTTTCCGTGCACGCTAACACGAATGCGTAATGTTACCTGTTGTTGACGATCCTCCCGACGCTCCCTGATTCCTCGCGGCCATATTTGCGTGTGCCAGGGGTCACCTCCGCTGTCTCCTTTTGATGCAATTATCGACCGTCGCCCGCTTCGCCGGAGTTGCACAAACTCCTCGGATCGCCGAAGACCTCTGTGATGTACACCAACCTTGTGGGTTAACCGAAGCGTCACTGAGACAACTTCATAAACCAAGTTGATAAACCCTGTCAAACTCCGAATTTCAAGTGCTGGAAACTCACGGTCCAAAACGACAGTTCAAATCTTAGACGAAAATCCAACATCGCTTCTCCGAGCACCCCTCTCATAAATCTCTAGGTATTTTCATGCGCGCTCACCGGTGTGTTCGTTTCGTCTGTCTTTGTCAACCGCGCTCAGACAGGACCCTGGAGAGCACTGAGGGAACCAACCGATGAACGGATCATACCGGCCCCGGCCACACATTTTGTAAATTTCCCGTGAGTGAGGGCAAATTGGCCCTTGGGACAGCTTGCCATGCCACGGGAGATTGTTTGTAACATTTGCTATTGATTACATACACTTTCACCTATGTAGCACATGTAATTACAGAGATATCCGGTTGTAACACAAAGTCCGACCAGGTATGAATTATTCTCAAGACTTGGGGCAAAAAAACCTTAATTGCACTTTTGTGCGGCAACCAGACACGCTGTGGCTTCCAGATGTACACCAGCAGATAGCCTGTGTCTTTGCGCATCTTTTGAGCATGTCACATGTAAGGGAATGTGAGATGTGGTTTCACAGGATCTTGGTATCCGAAAACCTCGTTTCATCGGCTGGTTCCCTCGGCGCTCTCCAGGGTCCTGCTCAGACAACAAGTTGTCCGGCCGCGATTAGTCAACCACAGATTTGCGAGAGAGATTATGAGGTCGATCTTAGTCATGAACGAATCGCTGATCATTAAGATTGCAAAAGAAAATATCCGTGGTTTTCAATCTGGCAGAAAAAGCACGGAAATGGCCGATGAAGTGGCCTGAGGTTGAATTGCATCGCTTGCCTGGAGCCAAATCCAGCGCTTGATGTCAACGCTTGCGCCTGCTTAAGCTCCATTTCTGATCCCAATTGGGATAAACAACCCAGATGAGCATAAACTAATACCAATGGGACGCGGAAGAGAGAAACATTATCAAAAATAATAGCAGCAACATTTGATTTCGAAACAGTTGTACTATTGATCGTAGATGGTAATTGACCCTGGTGCTGGAACGTTATATAAAGTACTACTTTCAAGAAACTCGTTGGCGACTTTATCATCGTTGCTTTCCTTTCCGCCTCTTTTCCACTTCTCGTCCTGGAAATCTACCTATCCTACTTGATTTCTTATCTCAATCTCTCATACTTTGAGTCATAACTTCATGTCTACCGCAACTCCAGATTTCAACCTTGACATACATCCGGCTCCCACTCCTTCCCAACGAGATTCTAACATTACGCGTACTGGTTCTCGTCTTTCTCTCGAAATAAATGACCTCAAAGCTGTTGAGAAAGATAACCGAGGAAGAGAGGAAATGACCGAAGAGGGCGTGGTGGACGTCGCTCGAGCAGAGGCTGAATTTGCCGAGCTTAGGCGTCAATTAACCCATGCGTACGCTTGCTTTAGTTTTTTGACCCCTGAAAGTAAACCAATCCCAACCCTCATTGTCCTCCAATGCGCATTTGTTTAGCTCCGCTTCCATCAACCGCAGTCGTCATTCTCTACCACTTGATCAGGAGAAGGACGAAGATAGCGATGAGTTCGACCTGCTTGGCTATTTGGTAAGTCTTGTTCTCACATTCGCCCTATAAATTGTGTGTGAACTGACATTTTCTTTGTTACGCCATGACAGCGGGGACGGTCACAAGAAGAAGACGCACATGGCTTTCACCACAAGCGGCTCGGTGTCGTATTCTCTGACCTTACTGTTGTTGGCATGGGTGGTATACGGCTTGCAATCCGTACTTTCCCCGATGCCATCAAGGAGTTTTTCCTTTTCCCGGTCATCGCCGTTATGAAACGGGTCATGAAGCGAACGCCCAAGTCGATCTTATCGGGCTTTAATGGATTTGTTCGTCCTGGGGAGATGTGCTTTGTGTTGGGTCGACCAAACTCGGGTTGCTCCACATTCCTCAAAGTCATTGCGAACCAACGGATCGGATTCATGGATATCACCGGCGTAGTTGAATACGGGGGCATCGATGCAGCAATTATGGCTAAGGAGTTTAAGGGAGAGTGCGTGTTTACATTGTTCGGTTGATTTTCGTTCTTAAAAATACTGATCACATGAATGTATGAACTCTTCTTATAGGGTCGTCTACAATCCCGAGGTAATGCTTTTCTCAGCTTCTTCACAAATTGATTTCTATTGCTGCCTGCATTCGATGCTGACTTTTGCTTGTTACGTAGGACGATGTACATCATGCGACCCTGACCGTTGGACAAACTCTCGACTTTGCTCTTTCCACCAAGACGCCTGCCAAGCGGCTTCCCAACCAGACCAAGAATGTCTTCAAGACGCAAGTACTCGATCTCCTCTTGCAAATGCTGGGAATCTCACACACGAAAGACACTTGTACGTATCGCCACTCTTTCAGTGTGATGATCGTGCTGCAGAATCTGACATTAGAATCTTGCGCAGATGTTGGAAGTGCCGATGTTCGCGGAGTCTCCGGAGGTGAACGAAAGCGTGTGTCAATAGCAGAAATGTTTACAACCCGAGCTTGCGTACTTTCGTGGGACAACTCCACTCGAGGTCTTGATGCTTCTACCGCTCTCTCGTATGCCAAGTCTCTCCGGATCTTGACTAACATCTTCAAGACAACGATGTTTGTGACCCTCTATCAAGCCGGAGAAGGTATCTATGACCAGTTCGATAAGGTTTGCCTTATAAATGAAGGTAGGCAAGCCTATTTTGGTCCTGCCTCCGAGGCGCGAGCATACATGATCGGATTAGGGTACAAGAACTTGCCACGTCAAACCACAGCCGACTACCTCACTGGTTGTACTGATCCGAACGAACGTCAATTCGCCGACGGAGTCGACCCTGCTACTGTTCCCAAGACGGCTGAAGAGATGGAACAAGCTTATCTTGCCAGCGACGTCTACCAACGAATGCAGGCTGAGATGAAGGTTTATCGGGCTCATCTCGAGTCAGAGAAACGCGAGCGTGAAGAGTTCTTTAATGCCGTACGCGAGAACCGTCACCGTGGAGCACCCAAACGAGTCTGTCCTTGTTCTGCTTGAATTGAAGACTACATGAAGCTTATTTTCTCTTATTTTTTAGTCCCCTCAAACGGTTTCGCTTTTCACACAAATTCGAGCGCTCATTGTTCGAGAGATTCAACTTAAACTACAAGATAGACTGGGCTTGATGTTCACGTGGGGAACAACGGTAGTCCTCTCAATCGTCATCGGTAGTATTTTTATTAACTTGCCTGAGACCTCGGCTGGTGCCTTTACGAGGTAAAATGACACTTGTATCATGTTGAAAGTAGCAGCGCTGATCTGCCCTCCTTCTGTAGGGGAGGAGTCATATTCCTTGGCCTTTTGTTCAACGTCTTTATCTGTGAGTGGTCTCATCGGTCTTGACAAGATTTGATCCGAGTGTTTCGCTAACGCCTTTGTCTAGCGTTCACCCAATTACCGGCTCAGATGGTCGGCCGCCCGATCATGTGGCGACAAACTTCATTCTGCTTCTATCGCCCCGGTGCAGCAGCTTTGGGAAGCACACTTGCCGATATCCCTTTCTCTGCCCCGAAAATTTTCGTCTTTTGTATAATTGTGAGACTTTTCCCTATCATTATATGCTTTGTGAAATGACCACTCATGCTGATGACGTCGTACGCAGGTGTATTTCATGGCTGGGCTCGTCAGCAACGCTGGTGCATTCTTCACCTTCTACCTGCTAGTATTCACCACCTTCACCTCTCTTAGTTCATTCTTCAGATTCCTGGGCGCCATATCTTTCAACTTCGACACGGCATCACGTTTGGCCAGTATTCTCGTTATGTCAATGGTCATTTACAGTGGCTACATGATACCTGAACCTGCGATGCGACGATGGCTCGTTTGGGTCAGTCTGTTTGATTGCGAGTCTTTTTACCTCGAGCTTGTTGCTAACATTCCTTTATGAAATGATAGCTTTACTACATTAATCCTGTTAACTATGCATTCTGTAAGCATTCATCTATCCTTTAGATGTGGATTGGTTTTGACATAGTAATTGTTATACTAGCGGCACTTATGGGCAATGAATTCGGTCGGCTCAGTTTGTGAGTTTAAATGTTGATTCAAATTCAGAATTTCAGCACACTAAATTGGCCTCTCGCGTTTCCTTCAGGACTTGCGCTGGATCGTCCATTGTCCCGAATGGCCCATCTTATCCTTCCGGCCTCGGACCAAATCAAATCTGTACTCTCCGAGGCTCTCGCCCTGGAAACCCAATTATCATTGGAGAAGATTATATTTCAGCTTCGTATACCTACTCGAAGGATAACGTATGGCGGAATTTCGGAATCGAAGTCTGTCATTGACCATGTTTACTCGCTCTTCATTTCACCCTACGTCTATTATCGATTGACTTTCTTTTTTTTCGATCTCAATAGGTTGCCTTCTTTGTATTATTCACGATTTGCCTTTTTATAGCCGTAGAAACCTTGTCACTCGGCGCTGGCATGCCAGCCATCAATGTGGTAAGTCCCGGCTCTGGGCAAAAGCGCTCATTGCGTCTCACGGCTAACAGATGAGCAAACTTGTCGTTTATTTTAGTTTGCTAAAGAAAATGCAGAGAGGAAGCGTCTCAATGAAGGTTTGCAAAGCAGAAAACAAGATTTCCGTACCGGGAAAGCACAGCAAGATCTTAGTGGATTGATCCAGACACGCAAGCCGTTGACTTGGGAAGCTCTTACCTACGACGTTCAAGTGCCAGGTGGCCAGAAGCGCCTTTTGAATGAAATTTATGGCTACGTGAAACCGGGGACGCTCACGGCATTGATGGGATCTTCAGGTACGTGTTTTCATCTGCATTGTTTTCACCACTACCCGCTGATGGCAACGCTTTGTGTTGTACAGGTGCCGGAAAAACCACGCTCCTTGACGTGTTAGCTAACCGAAAAACCACTGTAAGTCCCACATCTTCTGGATCTTTTGTCATGATTGTATTAAGCCTCATGTCTTCAACAGGGTGTGATTGGAGGCGAGGTGTGCATCGCTGGGCGCGCTCCAGGAGCCGACTTCCAAAGAGGCACAGCTTATTGCGAGCAACAGGACGTTCATGAATGGACCGCCACCGTTCGCGAAGCCTTCCGATTCTCAGCTTATCTCCGACAGCCTTCTCACGTCTCGGTGGCCGACAAAGACGCTTACGTTGAAGAGGTCATTCAATTGTTAGAATTGGAGGATCTCGCTGATGGTGTGTTTCGTTACTGATTAACACCGTGAGACGTTTACTCACGCACCGTTCTTTTCCCGGCAGCCATGATTGGTTTCCCTGGTTTTGGTCTCGGGGTCGAAGCAAGGAAACGGGTAACTATTGGTGTCGAGCTAGCTGCCAAACCGCAGCTCCTGCTCTTTTTGGATGGTGAGCTTCCATGTTTATCTATACCACGGTTATGTCCTTCTCACACGTGACTGCTACTAGAACCTACATCTGGGCTGGACGGTCAAAGTGCATACAATATCGTGCGCTTCTTGAAAAAACTAGCAGCCGCCGGTCAAGCAATCCTGTACGTGCTTTCAGTCCTTCTTCACCTCACCGCTATTGAGACTCTTCTTCCCCTGTAGGTGTACTATCCATCAACCGAACGCTTTACTCTTCGAAAATTTTGATCGACTTTTATTATTGAAGGGCGGGGGAAGATGTGTGTACTTTGGCGGCATTGGCAAGGACTCGCACATTCTGCGCTCCTATTTCGGAAAGAATGGCGCTGAATGTCCCGACTCGGCCAATCCTGCTGAATTCATGCTCGAGGCCATTGGTGCAGGAAATTCTCGCCAGATGGGAGGCAAGAAGGACTGGGCAGACCGCTGGCTGGATAGTGAAGAACACGCTGAAAATAAGCGCGAGATAGAACGTCTCAAACAGGAATTTCTTTCGCAATCTGATGAAGGCCCCGTTGAAATCGCCACATCTTGTACGTTTAGCTTCACTTGTCTCTCTCCAATAGTATCCTGCTTTAGGTCACTGAACTAATCCAACTTCGTCACAGACGCTCAGCCCTTCGGTTTCCAGCTCAAGGTTGTTCTCCAGCGGGCCAATCTTGCCTTCTATCGCAATGCGGACTACCAGTGGACCAGATTGTTCAATCACATTTCGATTGGACTTATTGCTGGATTGACGTTCTTGACCTTGGGTGATAACGTATCTGAATTACAATACAGGGTTTTTTCAATATTCGTGGCTGGGGTTTTACCGGTCTTGGTAAGCCCATTCAGTTGATGTCCGTCGCTATCACTGGAATTAACCTCTATACCTAATCTGAATGAACAGATCATATCTCAAGTCGAACCGGCTTTCATAATGGCTCGTATGATCTTTCTGCGGGAATCATCGTCGAGGACTTACATGCACGAAGTATTTGCAGTCAGCCAGTTCTTGGCGGAAATGCCGTATTCGATACTCTGTGCCGTAGCCTACTATCTTTTATGGTATTTCCTGACCGGTTTCAACACGAACAGTAACAGAGCAGGCTATGCTTTTCTGAGTTGAGTCTTGGTTTCAGTTCCATCAATGTCGTCTGAGCTGTTTCTCTCGTTACTGACTTTATATCCTCCTGGTACCAATAGTGATTATATTCTTGGAAATCTTCGCTGTGACTCTCGGTCAAGCAATCGCGGCGCTGTCTCCGAGCATCTTCATCGCATCTCAAATGAACCCTCTCATTACGTAAGTCAAGATTTCTTGTCGCAAGTCTGAATGATTGACCGCAATATTAACTTGTCACCTCTCCTTCGCTGTCCGACATCCAGTGTTTTCCTTAATCTGTTTTGCGGAGTTACTGGTAAGTTTGACACTTCTCCATATGTCATTTAGCCGCGTCTTAATACAACCATGTTTTCTGTAGTCCCACAGCCCGTCATGCCGAAATTCTGGAGACAATGTCAGTCATCGTGCCAGTTTCTCGATACAACGTCTGTTCCCTAATCCTGATATTGTTGCTTTCACAGGGATGCACAATTTGGATCCTTATACAAGGGTGATTGCCGGATTGGTGGTGAATGCACTACATGATTTAGATATCAACTGTGCCCCGGACGAATTGTGAGTAGTTTGCTCTTCAGTGCTATGCTCGGTGTGTTGACTTTCGAGGTGAACCAATCCAGCTCGCGAATCCAACCTCCTAGTGGACAAACTTGTGACCAATGGCTATCTCCGTTTGTCGCTTCATCGGGAGGTTACGTGCGAAACCCAAATGCTACGTCAGATTGTGATTATTGTCAATACAGGGTTGGAGACGAATGTAAGCGTTTATAGCAGACTGTCATGCTGCCGTGAAATTGAAACTGACTCTTCCGGCTATGAATTTATCATGCAGACTTCGCTACCTTAAATTTCTCTTTCTCCCATCGATGGAGAGATTTAGGGATCCTAGTTTGCTACTGCGCATTCAACTTTTTTGTCACTTTGGTCGCAGCCAAATTCTTGACGTCGAGATACGCCAAGAGATAACCTATAGTCTTGCTTTAGTCTCCATCTATTATTATCACCTTTGTCTCGCTTCAACAAGTCAACCATATATTTCTCTTTTATGATCCTTTTTTTTCGTAGTTTGCGTCAAATTGCCTATAGCAAATTTGTATGACATTGAAGTGGCCTTTTTCAAACTGACATTTTCTCTTTTTATTAACATTGATGCCGCTCTCACGAGTCATTTATTTATTTCTCCTTCATGATCATTTTTTGTCCTTTACTTTCGGCAACGTTATCGAACTGACATTTTTCTCCTTCTATCAACATGATCTTTTTGTCGTTTTAACATATTGTATATATATTTCTTTCTCATATTTATTTCAAGTATCTCTTGGTTTGTGTTGCTGGGTATTATTTTTAGTCAATCATGGTTGACGAACGTTGATGAAATTACGACTCTAATGTTATGATGCAATACTTACTGTCTGAAGTCCTTTGATTGATCGTTTGAGATGAGGCGACTGTTTTATCTTGAATTTGTGCCGGTAAACAGAAGCCAACTAACGTATAAATAGCCAATCACATACCTTTTCTGTTGTTCTTTCGAGAATGTGAACAGCACCTCACATCTCAAAGACCCCATAGTTTTTTTGCTTCATTGACTTTTCAAATCTTTCTTGCTGGCGATGGCTCATGGCTACATAAGACATCAGGAGGCCATTGCTATGCCTGAGGAGGAGGAAGAATGAAACACAAAGCCCGTTCCTTGGTCAAGATGTGAGACTTTGAGCGGTGACCAAGTCTCTGTGACGAGCTCGGGCCAGATCTCGTGTTTACCGGATAGATCGGAGCTTGAAATAGAAACCTCTCACTTCATCACTCAACTCAATTGCTGCTGCCGACATCTCCTTCTCCTTCAGTCAAACTAATCAATATGGTAGTAAGCTAAATCAATCATATTCATCTTCGAAACACAAAAACTCATTCATATATAATTCTAGAAACTCAAGCTTTGCTTTTCAGCCGAATTAGATAATCTCACTAATCTCACCCCATCAAATCCAGATTCATATGTTTACTTTTTCAAGGTGACTTCGATTTTATACTCTTCAAAAACATCAATACCCAAAGATAAAACTGAATCCTGATGAAAAAAAACTTCGATCCCAGGTTCAATGTTCAGGATGTCGAGAAATTCATGATAATTGGGTCAGCTTCACCTTGGATAAAATCCGTGAATCGAAAAAAAACGAATATGGAACTGATCTTCTTCATTTCCTTAGGTCGGGGTCTCTAGAACGGTCAGTTTCTCTTAGAAACTCTTTCTTGAAGATTACTCATCAATTTCGTCTTTTTCTTACTTCTTGTATCAAGGACGAGCGTCCGATGTCTGGATCTCGTGGGGTAGCAAACTTCGTATACAAATGTCAACTTTGTGCTGTAAGACCCCTTAACTGTTTTGTGTGAAATAGGATCATCAAAATATGCTAATTTTTTTGGTATTGACAGAAAGAAGCTTCTGCCAGTTTAGTCGTTTACCAATTGAGATCATATTCCACATTTGTTTGACAGATTTTGTCATTCCTCGTCTAGCTTTTTTGGCTCCTGATGCCAAAGCACCAACGGCTTATTGTCCAGACTCGGACCCAGTGACACTTTGTGTTCTAGATTGCCGTGGCTGTGAATTTACAGAATTTGATCCTAGGGTATGTCTGGATTTCTGTTCCACATTCAACTTTGTCGCTTGCCTCTCACACAGAATGCTTTCTTCTGCAGGGTCAGTGGTCGTGCAAAGGTGCAGAGACGAAGAGCGTCTTTACAGATATTGAGTTTGAAGAAGGAGAATGGCAGTAAGTTTTGAAATTCTCTACAATACTTACCAAATCATCCACATTGACCATTTGCGTTGCTCTATAGTGATTACGATGAAGCAGCTGGCGCCGCCGTAAGCATTACAGATATCAAGGTACATGTGATCTCTGACTATAACTCTCAGATGTCGAAAATATCAACCTGACTGTTGATTACTATACAGACAACCATTCAGCGTGCTTGAAAATGAGATAAGATAAGATAAAATGACAAAGAAAAATCAAGAAAATGCTTCTGATATGCCTCCTAATGAGGCTCTCGTTTGTATCATGAATACAACAAAACAAAACAGACTTCAAGACAGGATACATCCCTATGTAATGTAACAACATCACTCTTCAGCTGACTTCATTGGACGTGACATTGCTCGTGCAATTAACTAAGTTTGGAGCCAATTGAATCAGCTAAGGCGCTCGAATTTGACAATTTTGAAGATCAGGCAAACACTCACTGCAGCTCCACGCTCTATCCGCTGATGATCAGTCATTTCTTGTATCGATTTGCCGTCATATGGAAGGGCTGGTAGCGTTGTACTCCCATTCAACTTATTGCCAGCACCTACTGCGGTCTTGATAGCCTGACGCTCAGCTTCGCCCGCTTGAAATGCAACTTTAGCATTTTGTTGATATTCTAACCATCTTTCTCGGTCTTTAAGTCGTTGAGCTGCGAGTTGGGCCGGCTTATCTTCTGCTTCTTCTTTGGCCTTCTTGGCATCAATCTCGTCCTGCTTCCGAGATCTCAGATGAAGTTTCTCTTTAACCTTTGCCTTCACTTCCTCTTTGCATTTCGTAAATTGACCATACTTTTCAAGTGCAGTGATCATGAGGAGTGATCTGGAGATCGATACCCTGTCGGAGCGTTTTGATCAGCTGATTTGTTACCAACTTGTTTGAATTAGTTAAGGCACAGCTTACTTGGACATATCACAACCCCATTCGTGTTCCATTACATCAAGGAACTCTTTGAACTGATCCGAGCCCGCACGGTAGTGACCACTCAATGGACTCAAGGAAGTCAACTGGCCCTGGTTAACTCGTAAGAGCCCCGCTGCAAGGACATCGCTGCCTCCTAAGAAACTACTATGTTGAAATCGACCCGTTTGTTTCAACCCAACGTAAAGGTTCCCATTCTTATCAGCAACAAAGATCCAAGTATTGGCATTCAACGTCTTTCTCAATAAATTATCCATGATAGCCTTCGGATCGAATTGACGCTTAATTTTCGCTCGCAAGGTGGGTGAATGAGGTGTTTGGGCGTAATGATGAGCATCTTCATCCAAGATACTTGAAGCACCACTAAGAGAGGAAAATGAAGATTCAGAATCCCTTGGGATTTCACCTCGATCTTGAGCTGCTTTGAATTCTGCTTCAGTAGCATCTACAATTCCTTGACCATTTCCAAGATCACGATGTCTACCCCGAGCAGTGTCTACAGGCCGACCGTCTAAGAAACAAACCATCGAGCTTTTCAATAGCCTTCCAAAAAAGCTATCTTGACTGGTTTCGAGATTTTGTGCGTACCTTTTGCCCAAACTAGTTTACCTTCCGAGGTGATTGAAACGAGGTAGTTGCGCCGTTGATCAATGTTGAGATATCTGAATGTCACAGAGATTAGGGTCTATGTCGCTTACCACTCATGATAGAGTAAAAGCAACTGAAGAGCCGTGTTATAGTCGACTCACATGATTTGTTCTCTGTCTAATCGTTCCCTCGGAGAATGTTCCAGATCGAGCTCTCGTCCTTCACCATGATCAAGCCACTTGAAAAGAAGTCAATAATTTGGTCAGGTCAATCTTGATCAATTCTACAGAAGGCACTGAGGAATAGGAACATACATAGAAAAAGTTTTGATCGCCGTTGTATTGCTCGTTCCAATAGGTATCTGTTCAAGACGTGACGGAAAGAATTAGGATGCAAACAAAACGATGTTAATTTGAAAAGTCCTTACGATAGTCTTTGAGATTGGATCCATATCGATGTTTTGCATCTACCATTTCCAACCTTTGTGAAATATCGTACAAAACAGTTTGAATATCCTGTATACAGAATCCAGATCGAATTTGAGTTGTATGAAATTAAGTTCTTACCAGTATCTGATATCCATAGTCTTTGTACGTTTGACAGAAGAGAAAGATTGATCATGTCCTTCACTTGAAGGACTACTTTGAGGTTCAACCAGTCTAGCAGCAAAGAAACCACCACGACGCCAACGAGATGAAGGATCGTTGACGGCTTCACGACCTGCTTCCTCGTGAATCGATTTACGTCTCTGTGCCTGTTTAAGACACCAAGAAAATAAATGAAGAGTTTCATGGGTTGAGTAAGGTTTCGAATTTGATTTTGGTGAGAAAGTGATCAAAGCTTTGTACTTTGTATACTTCATTCCAACGTGCTGAGGAAGAAATCTTCATACCCATCTGTTCTCGTTCATCTTGAAACAAGTTCAGAATGAAAGACGCAAGTTGTCAGAGTGTTGTTATCACCTCAAAGAAGTTTAAAACTCACTATGGTATTGCCTGTTATGATAATATTGAAGAATAGGAATGTGATTGTAAGTTGATTGTGAAGTTTGAATGATAAGAGTTGAGAATTTAACCTGAAATGAGATTGTAAGACTCTTGCTGCTTTATCTTGTTCTTCATTGTTGGATGGTTGGGTATCGTTTGTTGAGGTATCTTGAGACATAATATGATTTGATGTGTTCTGAAATGTCGAAGGCTTGGTACATATGTGTGAGAGGTTGAGTTGATAATTTTCTTCAGGAACAAGTCTGATATTATGATAAAGCTGTGCAAAGCAAAGTGATCGGTATCAACCAAATATCTAAATTCAAATCCCGTCCGCCCCACTTCAATCTCGTATCAATTCATCAAACACTTCTCATACTTCATTGACCGAGTAGGTCTACAAGGGTCTACATCTTGGATTCATTTCATCTGTTTCATAACTCAAGAATGTAATTTGGCCGTCTTGAGGATTAATTCGGGATGGCGTCTCCTTTACACGGCTCCCGAAGGAGAAATTCGGGGTTAATGTTGGATCTTCGACGTTCGTGGGTGGATGAGCGGTGGACGCGGAGGCGATGTGTATTGAACCTGCTGAGAGCAATTAACCAAATATTTTGTTCAGCACCGGTGGAATTTGGAAAGCTAGGGATGTGAAACTTCACTCTTCGACTCATCCTTAAGGCACCACCCCCTGAGGGGCAAGTTTTGTTTTGGCCATGGTCAGGCCTCGCAATTATTCAAGATAAATACAGCTTGGATTGCTTATATTTACTTGAGAAACTGGTTTGAGACAAAAACTCAAAGATTGAAAGTCATCTTGCACTTGTTCCAATTATAAAATCCAAAGCTTTCTACCAAAGAGAGAAATAACAAGATAACAAAGATGATATGAATTCCTGAACTATGCAGGGCCTTTCAGATAGAAATTAAGAAAAACATGTCTCGTTCTGAAAGACAAATCTTTGGTTACAAAATATTTTCTACTTCATATAGCCTGGCTCATAATTTTTGATGACCACAAAAGCGCAAGCCAAGGTGAACGAGAAAATGAATCGATGGTCCTTCATGAGTGGTGTGAAAGGTCTAGATGTGAAGGTGTGACAGGTCGCCTAACACGTGACCTGGATAAACTTCTGTGAACTATGACCCTCAAACTTCCGATTTCACCAAACTCGATCACTTGGTTCATCAAAAGTCCTCAGCTCAGCATCTTCAAACATCAACTTGACTTGAACTCTACTTAAGAAAATCAAACCAACCACTCAAAGAAGGATGATACTCAACCCACGAGCTTGTTCAAAAGGTTATTGATCCGATTCCATTCATATCTTACCACTCAACTTATGTTGATTGAAGGTTATCGAATTCTTGGTTTGGTTTCTAGTCTTCAGTCGCCAGTCGATTGAACAGACTCGACAATTTATCACCAGTACTAGAATCAATAGCCCCTACGATCTTTCTATTCCGAATCTCAGAATCCACAAGAACACAAAGGTTAACCCCGACGGCTCATGATCTGTCGGCTTGACTAGACTCTGGACTGATGCATGATTGTCTGCTTATTCGATTTAAATTCAAACAGGTCATATGTCAAGGTTTTACTGGAAAGACAGTGAGATACCTTATATTCCTAGTTGTTTACAAAAGCCAATCTTGCTGTTTTACTCATAAGTTCCTTTTGGACGAATCATTAGGCTACATATCATTGTAAAGAAGCGCTTGATTACGGTACCAAGTTCGTGGGTGGTGTGTCTCCCAAGAAAGCTGGTCAACATCATCTGGGACTTCCTGTTTTTGGAAGTGTTAAAGATGTAAGCAAGATGGATCTCTGACTTTTTCGGAACACAAGTCTCACTTTATTGAATATTTGTTGTTGTTTGGTAGGCTGTGCGAGAAACTAGACCCGACGCAACAGTAATCTACGTACCACCGCCTTTTGCGGCAGATGCAGTGATTGAAGCAGTGGAGAATGAGATTGGCTTGATTGTATGCATCACCGAGGGGATCCCTCAGCAGGATGAAGTCAGGGTGTGTGTATATGTTCTTGATAGGATCAAAGCTGAAATCTACCACTCGCTTAGTGTAACCTATCTAACACATTGGACTCTGATAGATCGCACAAGTGTTGAAGAGCCAGAGCAAGTCAAGACTTGTGGGCCCTAACTGTCCTGGAATTATGTCGCCTGATGTTGGTGGTGGATGCAAGATTGGTATCATGCCTTCTAACATCTTCTCACCTGGATGTATAGGTAAGTTATGACACTTGCATTTTGATCTGTATCTTTTACTCATCGGTATCACATCTTTTCATCAGGTGTTGTTTCCCGATCTGGTACTCTCACTTATGAGGCTGTTGACCAGACTACCAAGGTGGGACTCGGTCAGACGCTTTGTGTAGGGATCGGAGGTGACCCATTCCCAGGAACTCAGCATATTGATGTTCTAAAAGCGTTCATGGAAGACGATGCTACAAAGGGTGAGTCACACATGGCCTTCTTTGCACAACTTGCTTCTGAATCTCTGACGTGTTTTCTGAGTAACTAGGTATCGTGTTGATTGGAGAAATCGGAGGCTCGATGGAGGAAGAGGCAGCTGAGTTCTTGAAACAGTACAACAAGACACGATCAGTACCAAAACCAGTGATCAGCTTTATTGCAGGCCGAACTGCACCTCCGGGTCGTAGAATGGGTCATGCAGGTGCTATCATTAGTGGTGGAAAGGGTAAAGCAGAGGATAAAGTAAAGGCATTGGAAGAAGCTGGTGCAGTCGTCAGTGACTCGCCAGCCAAACTCGGAGCTTTGATGTTGAAAGTAAGTGCTACTATGTCTTCTTTGGTTTTATCCAAGTTCACTCATAATGTTAATACATGTTTCTCACTGCATTCATCATCAGGCAATGAAAGCTGCGAATTTAGCTTGATGTGTCTTGGATAGGGATGTCAGTGGCTTCGGAAGGTGGACGAACCAAAGATTTGTACAAAGATATTAGAAAGACATGTTTGAGAGAATTCATTTCCAAGAACCATCATGGAGTTTTACCGATCAAGCGTTGTTGGCTGACTTGATGAGTCAGCTCCTGCTTGAATGTCGTAATAGATGCGTAATACAGACTTGAAGCATTTTGATAGCGACTTTAACAGAACTATAAATCTCCGACTTATGCATCTGTTGTAATCAGGCATATGCAATTTTTGACTGGGCAGAACTTGTTATATTCGGCCATGTGGTTCAACTTTCTGCTTAAATCCTTGAATACGATTGTGTCAAATTTACAGTCAAAGTAGCGCGGTTATTTAAACCTTGAAAGAGAGCTTGAGCGCCTCAAGTGTTGGGCAGCTTCGTCAAACTGAGATCCAGGTCAAGAGTTTGATTAAGATGTTGGAAGGATATACGGCTGTTTCTTCCACAGAATCTCCATTGTAAGGTTTCTAGGTTGTTCAGTGAGGCCAACCAAAGTGAGATTGGTCCAGAAGCTTGGCTCAAGATGAAATATGCAATGTAAGTAGACCGACCACTACTACTTGATAGGATCTTCAAACACATGTGATCTCACAAATGGTATAAACATTCATAGTATGCATTGAAATCTCGATACAACACTACATATTCTTCCTTTCTGAAACACTTGAGTATCCCAACATAAGACCTTCCAATTGATTCAAGACATGGAAAAATATTAACACCAAATTGTAGCAAAGGAAGAAAAAGGTAGAAGAAATAAGACGATGATAAGTCGGATACTCCGTTAAAAACTCAAAGAAGTTATAACGTAATCACAAATAAGAAAGAGAAGGACCCTACAATCAAAGATCTTTACAAACAGACTTGGTACCGAAAAACTAAAATCTTCAAACAAATACATCAACTTCCAAGACCACGCCAAAGAAAAAAAAAACTTGAGAAGCGAAAAACAAAACCCAAAGATGAAGAAGAAAAGGAGAAAAAGATAAAAGAAAAAAAGAAAAAGATTAATTTTTTTGGGTTTGGTTCTTTAAGGAGAATGAATACCCATATGATTAGACCAAGAATCAGCAAAAGCTTCTTTATTTTTTGTAGGAGAGTTTTCGATTGAAACTAATAAAGATAAGATGATTAAGATTTGAAAAAACAAAGCAGGAGTCAAGAAATAAAAGATTTCTCCTGAACTTGCAAAATTTAAAATAAATAAAGATGAGAATCTAATATATTCATCACCAAATCCTTGAATCTAAATATGATCATTATACATATATAAAATATAAATTTATAGGTTAGTTTCTCTTTGTAAATTTAAGAAGGAAAAGAAAAAAACTTACAAAACAAGCCAGTGAAAGTACAGCTGAAAACCCAAAAGCCCAACCGATACCAAGAATCCAAAGTGAAGCCGAAAAGAAAGGTTTACTAAGGAACCTTAAATGGTTTAATTGATTAAAGAAATAGAAAGGTAAACTACCAATCAAATGACAAAAGGATCCTAAAAGAGAGATTAAAGCCCAAACTCCAAAGACAGGAGGTAAATCTGGCATTGAGATTTGTAAATGTTCTGAATTGACAATCGAACCTGCACGTGAGATGGTGGTAGTATAATCTGCTGGGAATGATAGTTTTGTGCATTCTAGTGATGAGCTTTTGTTTTGTTGATAACATGAACCTATAAAAATTGGTAAAAAGGGTCAAATAAGCGATTGAAAAAGGTTACTTTGGCAAGAGAAAAAAAGTAAAGGAGAAGATTACCAAGAATACTGACCTAAGAGTCCAAAATAAAGTGTTGGAGCCATTAAAGAATGATCGGTTTTATTAATCGATTCATCCGATGTATTAACATATTCAACAATCAAAACAGTAGTCGACTTTAATTTCCAAGGAACTAAACCAAAGATTGGAATCCAAATTAAGAAAAAACAACCTAAGCCAAGTATAAGTGGAGTTGTATAAAGTATATGAAGTCGTTTAGTGGTTATTCGTGATGAAGGCATCGTATTTGTTTGAATTGATTTGAACTTGAAGGGTTTCTTTGTGAAGATAGATTGATTTGAGAAGGATGATTTTATGAAGCTCAAGAGTCGAGGTAATCAGATCAGAATAGGATGATGAATATATGGTATTGGAATCTACTAGGACTATTACTAGAATGGGTAAGCCTTGTCGGGATTGAAGAACTAATTGGTTTTCTTTTTTCGGAAAAGGGGAAAGAGATTGATTGGTTCAAGGATCCAAACTGATTATATATCAGCCTACCAAAAAAAAGATGAGGAATCGTTGAGTAAGAAATAGCTGAGGGAAAGCTGAGGTGATGATGGTAAAATCAATTCAAGAAATGAAGATACAAATCGAAAAAAAAAAACATGAAAAGTTAATCAGTCCAAGCTTAGTTTGAAAAGAAAGGTTTATCTTGTTCAAGTTGTATGTCTGTTCAAGTTATATGAAAGGGGTAAAGCAAAGGGGAAAAAGTTTGAACAAAAAGGAAATCAGCAAGATATAACGATTAAGGCAGGTTGAGGGTTTTGCAAGCTTCAGGAAAACAATTGATATAACTCAACAACTGCTACTGTCTTTCCTCCTTTGACTCTGAGGTTCATTAACTTTTCTCCATTTCGGATTAACTTTGTGATTCTTACTTAAAGTAATCGATTTCTTAAGACTCACTATATGCGTTGAAGTTAAACAGAAAGTATTTGCTGAACGGGAGAAATCAAGTTATATCTGCTATCATCTTTGATGTCTCAGATAGCGGAGAAGTGGATATGATCGGTGGATGTATGCGTGCAGTGATATCTTTTTGAAAGGAACTTTACGCGTTCATCTGATATCACCATCGATATCCACCTGACCACACCATCCAAATAAGGCTTCATATCAACGTTGTCTGTTGGGTTTTGCAAGTTCACTTTCATTGACATACTTCCTGTTAAAAGATGAACAGCGCTTGTTCACCTTCGTCATCAGATAATTCTTCAACACTGGTCATCATCAGTGCTGATACTAGTTGACCTGATTTGCTTTCACCGGTATTACGTATGCTCTGTGCTCATCCCGCTGCTTAGCTTCTGTCGGGAAATCAAACTCAAAGTATCAGAATAGAAAAAAACACGGCTTAGCTTTGAGAGCATCGAAATCACAACCCAGTCTAAAGTTGCATATATTTCAGATAAGGTTTCTAACACAGATTGAAAACTTTAGAAGAGAATAAGAGGATATCAAGTTTGCGAAGGTTTCTCATTTTATTCAACGACACGCTCTTCAAGATTTGATATAGTGTAATTAAGAGCATCGACCATGCTGAGGTGGTTTTATCCTAATGTTTGTGTAACCAAGTCCTTGATAACATGAAATCCACTATGAGCTTCATCACCATTTGGTTTAGCTACAACAATCTACATATCCTCATTGTACTTGCAAATTGTCAATCAAATCCGAAGTCATATTCTCGTGTGATCTCATCCAAAAGATTCATTATATCAAGATGCAAATTAAAGTGAACAGTTATTACAAGCTTTCGTATTTCACCCTCGTTGTCTATGTTTTTTTTTGTGTAACCCAGCAAAAAAGAGAAATGCAAAAATAAAGAAAAAAGCTAAATAACATATCATACAAAACCTTTTACATTACATGAATCTATATATAATTGAGGGAGAAAGGAAAGGAGGGGAGGGATTTTTTTTAAATATAAGGCAGTTTTTTTTTCTATTTCTCTCACCACGAACTCTCATTATTCTTGACCACCATATTTGACATCCCAATTGAATTTCGTTCACTCATCATCATACCTGTCTTTAATTCGGTTGGACTTGAAGGTTTTTTCGTTAATCTTATTCCATCTTCTTCATCCCATCTTGCCCACGATTCATCTTCCCATCCTTCTTCTACTTTGTTGGATTGATTTGGATCTGTTGATGGTCTTGTTTCGATAGATTTCCCTACTTTACGCTCTCGTGTTTCGGTTATTGAGGGCCGAGGTGGGTAGGAGTGTATGCCTGTGATGGCGGCTGGAACATGACGATCGGATTTAATAGAAGAAGACTTTTGATGATGTCTAGATGGCTTTGAGGAGGGAGGTTTCGAGCGACGTTCGCTCACCAGTCCAACGCGTTCACTTGAATCTGCTTCAAGATCTGATTGATCTCTATCCAGATCTTCTTCCTCATCTGAACTTGGTCTATAACTTCCATCGCCTTCTTCTTCTTCATCATCTGATTCGAGTAACTCATGAACCGGTGTAGGTGTATGTCGAATAAAAGAGTCGATCAGTAAGAATTGTAATACGTTGAGGATTGTAGGTCCGACCATGACGACTATAACGACTTGAACCTTGGCATTCGGGCTCACAGCTTCGATCAATCGATCTCCAAATCGAATCAGTGTTTCTCCACCTACATAAAACATGGCTACTACGGTTAACTTCAAGAGTGCAAGTGCGATTAGATAAAGACCAAGTTGTTTTAACCATGAAATCAAAAATGGACGTGGATAGGTGCCCGAGGCAAGACCCATACTAGCAGGAGGTAATCGTAAAAGGACAGATAAGAGATGAGTTAAGAAACGTAAGATAAGAAGTAAGATGAAGACTCCAAGGGTGGTGTCAATAAAGATATTCATAAAATAAAGAGCACATGGGTTTCCTTTTGAAGGTAAAGAAGCAATCGAGGCTTAAAGATCAAAAATGAGAAAATCAGATCTTAATTCTAGAATGATGAGATGTTCAATCGACGAGGAATTCCGACAGACCTGCTATTAGGATGTTGAGTGAATGAACAAAAGCTTGACCGATGACCTGCTTGGACACATCAGCTGTCCATATACGATATTTTCCTAAATGAAAGACACCAATTGTAAGAAGATAGTGATCAGATTCATCATCTTATTGAGAAAAGAAACTTACGTTTGGGTTTTTCCCTATGACGTTTAACAAGTAAACTACCCAGTACGATACAAGCCATCAAGCCTTGAATGGCTAATGCGAATGGTCCCAGAAGCGCACATGTATCGGTATCGAGATTTGGACCAGGAATTTCAGCAATTGATTTTAAGATCGGATTGAAACTAGTAGGTAATGTGACGTTGGTCGAGGTAGTTGATGAAGTGGTGATAGGAACAGGCATGAATGTTGGTCTTGAGTTTAAGAAAAAGCTTGATGATAAGATTGTTAAGATGAAGAACTTGAAGTTGATGATTGATTGATTTGTTTTTTTGAGAGAAGTGATCGATTGATTGTAATGAAAATGAAGAGTTCTTGAAATGAAAAACTGACTAAGGATCATCGATTCGATTCGATTCGATTCGGTCGAAATGAATGAATTGGTCGATAGAGTTGTCTGGTCAACCCAATTTCATCTTCACAGTCTTGACACTTTACCTTACACAACTTCTCTTTCTCTAGAATCATCCTTTTCTGCGCGGACATTTAGCAGATTAGCCCAGCTACATAGGGTCAAGATTCAGACTAGCCTTCAAGTTTGTATGAACTTCACTATTCAACCTCAAAAGCCTTTAGAGTCATCAAGGTGCACACAAGCAAATTTCAGATAAAATCTTTCTCTGGTCATTTCTCAAGTAAGATGAATTCCAAGGAAGATGTCCTTTCTGCCACAAGAATGATAACCCAGCCCATGTAAATCCAGCAAGCATGGCTTGAGCTAATTAACACCTGAGGTACGTATTTTTGACATCAACCACCTCTCGTATTCAGTGAGGCAGCTGATTCAAGCCTACCTCAAAAGTCCAAGAGAAATGCTGGAATGATTATCTCAAACATAGCACAGACTCAAAGGTGTTCTTCACACAAGATGATCTTGAACTTTGGAATGTCAGACAGTCTGGTTGGTATGTATTGCTTCACCTCAGATAGATTAAATTTTACTGGTGATTCAAATTACTTGAGACACATTGACACTTTAAAGATCACAGAAGAGGTAAAAAAAGATCTGAAAAACAAAGTGAATGTTTTGGGAATAGTAGTGGTTTGAAAATGGGATTGTTTTGGGATTGGGATTGTCTTGGGAGTCATAATGTTTTGGTTGGAACTTGAAGCATGAGAATGTATGCTGAGCTTCCAAGCTTGGGTTATGGTCATAAAGTGAAAATATATTGCTTATTCAACTTCCATCTTGAGGTTACACCACTCAGCATTGATCTAGCAGGGTATAAAGGAATCTATCTTGGCTGCGCAGACTGAGATTTGCAGGTTTATTCTACAGTCAATCCAGTTTTGCTTGTCCATTCGTATTTTTTATTTTTTATTTTCACATCAATACAGGCCAATACAGGCCATTTTATAAGCATACATAGCCTTCAATCAAGATACCACAATTGAAGTGTAGAGGGTTGTTGATGATCGATGCTGCCAAGTCTCGACCCATCAGATTCAGGATTCAGCATCAATCCATCCTCTCCGAACTCATCCATGCATCACTTGAATCATCCAATCGCTTCTCTCTACCTCGTCACTATCCTTTGAGAATTGGGCTTATCACTTAGTCTTTCATTCCGCAATTCAACCCTTTTGGTCTCGACTGAAACATCTCGGCTTTGACTCAAGTAAGCTCCTTGAATATCTTACTCGTATTGAGATCAGTCATTGGATTGCTGAATATCTTCCTCATCCATCCAGCCAGGTCAATGTTTTGGTCCGTTCATCGGATATGTTCGAGCTCATCAACTCAAATCGTTATCAGTCCTTACCCTATCGCTAATTCAAGGTATGTTGTTCTTTGACTCAACTCTTGTTAACCAACTAAACACGCACTAATCGAAATGGTTCACTTCTCTCAAATCCCTTCTGTCTGTCAACTTAAGCTCTAGTCTTTGGTTCAGACATTTCAAAGTACTTTGAAGATCAATCAATCCACTAAATCCAATTCCGCGTCATCGATCAATCCTGTGTAAGTTGATTTGTGTTGATACTGTTAGTTCATAAGGTGTGACTTGTTTATTGCAAATCATCAGTAAAGCTACTTACCCTGGTTTCTCAACGCTTCACATCAATCTGCCTCAGTCTGTGGATCTTGTAGTTTTTTCTTGCTATGTGATTTTGTTGTTCCTATACTCAAGAAAGAATAAGTGTCTTATTTGTATATAGAAGTTTGTACCTGCCATCTAAATGGCCATTGTTAATAACATCAACAGTTTATATTCATCATTCTGAGTTCTTATGATTGATATACTTTCTGGACTCTTTCGGTTGCCTACGAGTACAATGTGTCTCATTAGATCCACAGTTTGATCTTAGAGTGTATGAAACTCCTGCAACGGTATATAGAAGCACTGTTTTTATGAACTGTCTTGTTTCCTCGTGCCATCTAACCTGAGCTCATACTTGGTGCTAGTAGTCACTGGCTTCCTTGCAGACTTCCGGTCTAAGAACTGTTGGTACTCAGCCTATCTGTGACCACTATCATTGCACATGATCTCCTCACCTTGAGACATGCTGGCAATGCATTTGAAAAGTAATTGAAGCATCACAGGAAGAGACTGTAATTCAAAGAGTCTTTTATTACAACAGCAAACTGAGGCAAGATGAAATACAAGCAGAATACACATTAAGGCTTTGGATTTGATCTGATGCGACAGATTCCCAAAGCTAAGAATGCTATATAAAAATGGAACGATCGAGTTGACCAAAAAAACATCCAGAGCTCAACAATTGGATGTGACGTTTACGAATTGGAGCTGAAGCCTAAAGGAAGGATTTAAAAATGAGACTAAGATCTAAAGACAATACTTCACTAAACATAAGCTTGAGTAGATTAAACCGACATTGGGGTGATCAAGTGATGGCAACAATTCACCTTCTTTTTTGATATTGTGTGGGTAGCAATCGAGACTTTTTATCTTCAATCCTTTATCATCATTCGCTTGAGAAGGAATTGTGAGTGTTTTGGAAGTAGCTGATAAAGGTGCTTTGAACAATCCACTCGAATCTAATGAACTTCAACTGAAAATATAATTCAAAGGAAGATCAGTATTGTGTTCAAGCTAGTTTTCGATTGAGTGAGTGAACTTTACATAATCAAATCAAAGACACCAAGGGTTGAGTTGAAGACGGGAAGGTTTGAACCGAAGCTGAGAGGTCTGAATCGAAACAAAGAGCCTGAAATCAAAGCCTAGAAGACTGGGTCAGCACTCACCTTACGGTTCTTTGGCTGAGAGGATGAATGATGAAAGATAGGATTGAGCTGGAACGATGTGTGTGAGGACAAAGGGATGGTGATGAGGACAGGTTTGTAATAATCAAGCACTGTGGACTATGGTCAGCTGTGGTTGGTCAGACTCACAACTCCAGCATAAGCATATGACTCATATCTTTATGCTTATAGAATCACCTGTATTGCAGTGAAAAATAAATAAATAAAATCCGATTGGACAAGCAAAATTGGATTGACTGTAAATCCTCGCGTGGTACCTGCGTTCTGATCAACTTCAGATATGCAGAATATTGGCAGCATTTTTTGATGTGGTAATACCAAAAGAGCATGCTGTTTGAGCACTGTTTCTTGTCAAGTCAGCTTAAGTGCACGCTTTTAAGATTGTTTATGATGACTTTTAAAGTACCAAAAAGCCCGCAATAGTCATTTAGAAAGGGTCTCTAGTTGGTTGATGAATGCAGATTGAGGATCTGGATCTGGAGATTGTAGAATTTGAGAGATGGTGTTTGATCAGCATTGGTGCCAATGGGAATGAGATGTGAATGGATTGGTTGGGTAATCAGTTGCTTGTAGTGATTGAATGTCACTTGAGTATTCAGTCACTTGACAACTCACTCAGTCTAAATTTACCCCTTGAACCAAATCTGACTTTCTGAGTGTCACTGATTGTGTACTCATATACCACTCTCTATCTCTCTCTGACTGTCTCGCTAATCGTATCTTCAACTCAACTCTGTTCAAAACCACTCATATCAAAATGTCCTCAGCTTCAGATCAGGCTGGATTTCAATCAACCACAACTGTGATCACCAGTACAACCACTACCACTGCTATCACCAAACCTTCTATTCCTTCACATCCAACTATCGCCTCCTCAGCATCTGTCTTTAGTCGCATGTCATTGGAGGATGTTCTTGAAGATCTAGCTTCTCGATTTATTCTCAACTTACCCCCTGTTGAGCTTTCTCAAATCGAACGTGTTTGCTTTCAAGTCGAACAGGCGCATTGGTTTTATGAGGATTTTGTTCGACCCAACAGTTCATTACGTTTACCTTCATACAATCTCAAAACCTTTACTCGACTGTTTTTCGAGAAATGCGATTTCTTAAGAACCGAAGGCGCTCCACTCTCTGGATGGGACCCGTTCGTGGCTGATCTTATTTTCATCTTCACAACAAAGTTCTTACACTGATAACTGCTTCCTCCTTTCAGTCAAGCAGCTTACGATAAGTTTCTGAGGTACAAAGAGCGTGTTCCGGTCTGCGGAGCAATCATCTTGAATTCGGATGCTAGTAAGGTTCTTCTTGTCAAAGGCTATAAAGCAAACTCTTCCTGGTCCTTTCCACGTGGAAAAATCAATGAAAATGAACAACCACGAGATTGTGCGATTCGTGAAGTACTTGAAGAAACTGGTTTTGACATCACATCACATATGTGTTTATCTTCTACTTGGGGATTGGATAGCAAATTATCAGCCATTCAGAAAGGAAGGCCTTCGAACCCAACTCCTTCAGGTCCCAATAACACATCTCACCGTCAATCGAAACATCGTACGCTTCACTCTGAAGGGGATGATCACTTTATTGAAATCATGATCAGGGAACAAAAATTAAGAATGTACCTTGTCACTGGGATACCTGATGAGACTGTCTTTGAAACTCAGACTCGCCAAGAAATCAGTGTGAGTCGAAATTGGAACTTGTGATGGCTCTTCTCAACGCTGACATTTAAAACGTTTCTTTTGGTACCTCCAGGCAATCGCTTGGTTTCCTCTCGCAGACCTCCCTACTTTCACATCGGAAGCTTTTTCACCCAAGAGACCTTCCTCTAATTGGTCGAACATTCCCCCGCAGCACCTGACCGAACCCGATATCCACGGTTTCCGAGCTTCCGCCAAGTTCTATATGGTTGTACCTTTTGTCAGGTAGCTAAAGACACGTCCCTTGAGGCTCTCTTGTGGGACCAGTCATACTCATCTAGTCCTCATCTGCGTGTGTAGTGATTTGCGCACATGGCTTCTTCGCCATAATTTACTGTGTGCGAGCGACTATGGTTTACCGACGTCTTTCAAGCCCGATCAACATTCTCAACATCCTCCTCACATGATGCTAAATGAGATCAATGCTATAGCCGCTGCACAATCTCGATATGCTCATTACCCTGGTGCTAATAATTTTGAAGCGGCTGCGGTTTATGAGCGAGCGCGACGGCTGCAGACTTTTCAATTCGATGAAGAGATTGTTCCTTCCCCCCCTCCGCCACCAGAGCCTAGACTGACACAATCAGCCAAGAAGAAAAAGAAAAAGAATAATCGAAAGAAAGATGTAGATCAGATCAAACAGGATCAACATCTTCATGCTGATGTGTACATTGATGATCAACCTCAGAGCAACACGGAAGACGAAATTGAAGCAAACCCCGAGGTTCCTTGGAATGATCTAGATGAAGGCACAAGGGCTCTTCAGAAACTGTTTTTTGGCGATTCAAAACCTAGTGAAGCTGCTGAAGTGGTGAGTCGGTTTCCTGAAGTCCACTCGGCGCTTAATTTAGGCTATTGTGTACTCGATCATGACGTTGACAGCATCTTTCGTTTCTACCTCAAGCCGAATGGGAAACCGATCCAGTTCTTGACGTACAATGAACGACACCAGCAACAAAACCAATTGGCATCGGATGCCGACACTGATGTCGTCAAAGGGTATGATATTGCTACGTCTTGTAAGTGGATCGGCCATCACCAACATTTCGAAATTTGCGAGACTTACTAATGAAGTATCAAGTAATTGTAGACGCCTCATCAATGTCCTCGAGTTATCGAGATTCTTCTACTCAGATGCCCTCATCAGATGAACATAACGCTCAATCTACCTCCACAAATCTTTTGTCTCAGCTGCTCAATTCCCACAACGGATTTGATCCAGTTCAACTGACTGAGAATGATCGCTCTGCATCTTATCCCGTCACACGGATGACTGAGGCTGAAGCGATGTACTCGAAACATGGTCATTTAGCAGCTCCTAGACCCCAGCCCGCTCCCCAACAAGTCGAACGTCTTTTGGCCATGCTACAGGCCCCAACCCCTGGTCCATTATCTTCGATCGGACGTCATTCACACCATCCTGAAATGTCGCTTCCAGGTGTGCTTAATCATAATGTCTCTCAACCACATCCCGACATGGGTCAATTTAGCAGTGATGGCGAACTAGAGCAAAACACTCCTCGGCACCGTGGAAACCCTGCGTTTGAACCACCATCGAACGGCGTTGGCGGATACAATAGTGGACCCGATATACCCATGACTTCACCGAGATCTGGGGGTACATCTGTTCCTCTTACCTTCTCCACATCTCGAACGTCCCAAGCGACTCAACATTTGAACACATATCCATCGCCCGTTATATACAGCTCCCCAACTGTGGGTTTCAATCAATACAATGGCACTACGTCCGCTGAGCCTATTACCCCTCGAGCTTCAAACTTGCTCGACCTGCTCATCAAAGGCAATGCTAAAACGGCGACCGGCATAACCAGTGATACATTATCATTTCCTACTACCCAGGCAATCCCACCAGCATTGCATCAGACGCGCTTGCCAGCCGGGCGTGTAGCGGCTTCCCATCATCACACCTTTGCTTCTCAGCCCACCCCACCAACGGTCATCAACTCTCTTTTGAGCTCACCATCGTCTCATTTACCATTAAAGGAAGCTGAACGTAGGGAGAAACAAGACGCTCTTTTGAGACAACTACAATCATTGGCCAACCTTGGATTACATCATCCTTCTCAATCAACTATTGCAATTGATTGAGAACTCAAAACCTCCTCGGATCTGAATCCAAAATCTTTGGCTCATACTTTTTTCACTCATTGTTTTGAGGTTTTCATCTGTTTAAGCATTGTGTAATGTGATTGATTTGATTTACTCATAAAGTGTAGAAGGGATAAATTCGAGATGATAAGAAAGTTTTTTTTGTTTGGTTGGGAATAGATTATTTCAGCAGAGATTGGTGATTGGTGGGATGTATTGTTGTAATATGTATCTGGACCTTTATCTTTTTGGACGTTTTAAATCTTACTTCTGGTCTGTGTTGAGTGTTACAATTAAGAAAGAAAAAAAAACAAGTGTTTTTAACTTTTCTTTGTATATCTTCTACAATTCACTCTACCTACGCGTAATTCCGACTTACAAGCATGATTATACACTTACCCTTATCTCTCAAAATCGCCTAGTCTTTTAACTCTTTATTTCATCTTATTGATCCGATTCCCTTTGACCATTGAGTTTTCTTGATTGACTGTTTGTTTTTTTGTTGTGTGATCATTACCTAGTTTGATATTTGTGCATGTACACTTCTCAACTTTTCTCTGGGCCTATGTCACGATTTCTTTTCTGTCTCTTGTTATTGTGCTTGTGCGTGTGTTCTCTTGTGGATTGAGAAGAATGTTTTATGGGGTAAATTCTATACACATGAGGAACTTGGAGGTGCGTGGATACGAGAGTCTCAGTGTATATCTTTCATCGTTTGGTTTAACTTTGGGGTATTGGTTGACTTGACTCAGATTTGTATCAGAAATCACTTTGTGCTACTGCCCAATCATTATGACCACTGCTTATTTATTGGGCAGAGGCCTAGCCCAGACTGATCTGTCTTGGTACTGCTGATGTTTTCTTGTAATGCTATGAAGAAAGTGGAAAAAATGTTGATGTGATATCCTCAATTGTTATCTCTGATGTTTTGAACTCAATGTGAACTTTTGGATGGTTTCAAGAAGAAGTTCAACTTTCAACTTTCAGGTTTCTTGGTGACAAGTATGATTTTTAAAGTTCCTTGGGTTGTTGTTAGATTTTCTTTTGATCTAAAAAATCAAGCCAGATTTGACTGCAATGTTTAGATACAAGAAAAACTCAAAAGCAAGTCCGAGTTAAACTTGCAGGATCTTTGCACTGAATCAAGACCCATCTCAAGGTTCAAAGAAAGTTGATTCTCTTGTGGCTGTAGCTTTGCTATTCACAAAAACCAGGTATGGTTCTGAGTTGCCTGGTCATATAACTATAACAGGCTCAATGCTGGGTTTATCACATGATGGATGTTTCATTAAACATCCTTCTAGACCATATGACCAATGATAACAAAATATGGAATTCAACAAATGAGCACCAAGAATAGATGAATGAGAAAATACGTCTAAGGGAAAACATGCAAAGAAATCATCTTCCTGTTAGTATGAATAATGAGATGGTGTTATGAACTAGCTTGAACGTAAGAAAAAGCTACACGAAGGAAGACATAGTCACAAAGATGTTTCATGAGTTGATACAATCTAACACAGTCCTTCTTCGTCAGATGCACAGAAAATGAACGCTAAAGATTGAAAATTAACATTTATTGTTCTAATCCGTCTTTCTCAAGTGGTTTTTCATTACTAGTCTCACTGGTATTCTCAGAATCTTTAATTTTCAAAGAACTTTCGAGTGGAGTCACTGATGGACGAGCGTTATGGACTACGTTGAGCCATCCTGACTTGGCGAAGATAGCGTCCAAATCTTCGAGGGATCGACCTGCAGTTTCCGGGAAGAAGATATACACAACAGGAACAATGAAGGCGTTGATGGCTGCAAAGATGATATCTGATTGACGGAAAAGATAACAGGGGGTTAGCGAATTTTTATAAAATACTTTAGTTTCAAGACTTACATGTTCTCCATCCAATGTTTTGAAACGAAATGGGCGTGATGAGGACGATCAAGAAATTGAAAATCCAATCTGAAAAATAAAGGGAATGATGGGTTTCAGAACGCAATCTCATTTAAACGTAGCTAAAACTTCAGTCCACTCACTGGACGCAGTACTGATACCGGTAGAAGCAGCTCGAGTACTCAAAGGAGGGATCTCAGCAGAGTATAGCCATCTTGAAGATACGATGATCTACTTTAGCATCACGATACACAAAATATATCACATCTAAACAAAATACGTACGACATTCCTAACCAACCGATTCCGAAGAATGAGTTGTAGACAAACAAGAAGACCGTGGCCGCAATCGCGGCCGAAGCACTGTTGAGGCCAACATGGGGTTGAATAGCCCATGCAGCAACTGCAAGTACAGCCATACTAAGACACATACCAACGGCGCCAAAAAGCATTAACTTTCGTCGACCGAAACGCTCTGAGATGGTAACATGTTGATTAGATAGACTTTGAACGTTCAAGACCGTAACAGAAAGCACTGACCAATGGTATAAACACCAATCCAGGAAGCCAAGAAAAACTCGGTACCAGTGCATGCGGCTAGAACTCGCGATAAGATGGGGCTTAAGTGAAGGTAATCTATAAACAATCGTTCAAAGTTTAATCTCTAGGCTTCTTTGGAATTTGAAAAGACTAGATGAAATATGAAAGCAGCTGACTTTCATAAATTGTGGCTGCATACTGGAAACAACAAGTTTAGCAGATAAGTCACGATTGCCCCTCCCCACCTGGACACCGGAGTAAAAGTAGTATTCAAAGGTAATACGCACGTAGGTGATGAGGTTAATTCCACTAGAATACAAAAAGAGTTTCAGCTGAAGTTTATAATGTAGTCACTACCAGTGAAGATTTGTAACATACCTAATCTGTTGAAAGCACTGACTGACAAATCCCAATGTTGCACGATGAAAGTTACGAGTTTTTCCCATCTTGAAGACATCTAACATATGCGGGTTTTCCGAACCAATCAGAGATTCTTCCACGGATTTGATGATCTTCGTAACTGATGGGTCGTCCTTTGAAACTCCATCCAAGGCCGCAAAGACTTGCCTAGCTTCTTCAATTTGTCCTTTTCTGACTAACCATCTAGGGGATTCAGGAAGTGACATAACGCTAGACATGATGATAACTGCAAAGACGACTTGTAATGCAATCGGGGCTCTCCAAGAGGCTGAGGACTCCCCTGTAAAGTAGAATGCCAACTGTAATAGAATCTTCATCAGCTGAGCTCCCAGTTGAGATTTCGAGTTTTGCCAGAGCTTGAAGATGCATTCACTTACATCGACCCAATAACTAATCATGATTCCTGCGGTAATCAAAGTTCCCTCCAACATCACCAGTTTACCACGGTCGCAGGCTCGAGAGCACTCTCTACAAAAAGTATATGCATTAGCGACAGTATGGGATGATCCTCAATTCATCACATCACTTACGATTGCCAAACGGGAACACTAGCAGTGATGAAACCATTTCCGTAACCGGTTACAATCCGACCAACTTTAGGCGGCGCGAAATAAATGTCATCAGTCTACTACTTCAGAGAATTTTATTGACTTTATCGTGATTGCTTACCTATAAGTTGAGCTAAACTAAAGGATGTAGTCTGGAGAATAGTTCCAACCACCTGGATAACTCTCACATACTTGCATGTAAGATTGAGAAGTTTCACAAGATTTTTAATTCAAGAAAAGACTGACCATGACAGTAGCACCAGCAAAAATAACCTTTCTGCGTCCAAACTTATCACCGAAATACAAACAACTCAATGCTCCCATCATGCAACCTGATTTTACATCGATCATATGATTAACAACTTTGACTTGGATGATCATGATCATGATGAACGGGCGACTCTCGGAGCCAACTTACCAATTTCATAAAGAGCACTGGAACCAACGGAAATATAGACAAGAAAAAAAGTGTATGTATGGGCTCTTAGCAAGTGGAAGAAGACACGAAATTTTTATTAGAAATTCCTCACATTGCAGCACCTTGGAGGGTCGAGTTTTTACTTTTTTGTTGCTCGCTCAGGTGAGACGAGATAGTATCCATTTCTGGAAAGACTTTAACAAAAGCCGGAAGTGTCAAGAGTCCACCCATAACACCCTGATCGTATCCGAATAAGCTTTAGAGGGAGAAACCAAGCGGCGATTTAACTTGGACTAGTCTGAAGCTCCTTGATCAGAGGAGAAATGGGAAAACACGCACAGAAAACCCATTCCGGATAAGAAAGCAACAGCTCTGTTCAAGTTCTTCCCTTCCAGCCCGCAATACGGAGCGGAGAAATTAAGTCCCAGCATCTTGTTGACTGTCTAACGAGCGATCAAATGTGACAAAACCTGGAAAGGAACGACGGAAAGTGAGAAAACACAAGCAGGGATTGGGTCGGCAGCGAACCTTCTGCTCAGGGAAGCGGATGGATACCTAGCAGATCGTCAGAGCTTCTGAGCTGGACTTGAATTTCGTAAATGAGGATAGGAAGGGTAACCAGATCCGGATGATGCGAGACAAATCCAAGTGCTGTTCCGACACAACGGGATTCATTTCTAAGATCTCATACATGTACTAAATTTATTAGGGTACCAAAAAAACTTGACGCGTGTACGTACATAGATGCGATGGTGGGTAGACTCAAGAAGAATAAATTCATAATTGAGGCTTACAGTTTATTAGTACTGTTACTCGAAGGAGCTCTGAGGCGTCCAGCAGTTCAATCGCAGATCTAAATTACAAAATTGTGAGGATTGGAGGGTGCCTTTGCATGGCCTTTGAGGTGCTTGAAGCCAGGCCGGGGTCTGCAGGTCTTTGAATGTTAGAAGATCTTGAGATGTACACAGCGATAAGCCTCCCTTGCCTGTTCATTTACCGGTGCCAAAACAGGTGAATATCGGAAAAACTGATGAAACGAGAGTAAAAGAATTGATTCAATATGCAAGGTTCTTATCGGTTTGATACTGATGATCAAAGTGCGTAACTCATCAATTCCACTCATATGAACACCATGAAGCACAACGCGGAAAGAGAAAGGTATCACACTTGATTGAGACCAAAATAAAGCGAAGATGACGAAATGATGTACATAGTATGCAGTGAAATGTTTCATGAGACCGAAGCATTGGAGTGGGACGCAGCCGCTATATAAGACCGGACTGTAAGACATGGGAAAGATGACGGCAAAATGGTTTTGTCATGAGACAGAAATAGTGAAATGTAACGAGCAGATTATAACGTCAACAATCATGAGCTGAGCAAGTGAGGATTTGATTTGTGTTGATGTGGATAGGACCCCTGTTATCTCCTATAAATGTACAATTGTGTCACAGCTTGATTTTTGGGCCTTTTGGCTCCAAGGACATGGGGTTTTTGCCCCAAAACAGGGTTTGGCTGCAGTTGCACAACAAGGTTATTGCTCCAAAGCTCAATATTTTGGCCTATTTGGCTCCAAGTAGACAACAAACATCCAATGCCCCATGTTGGCACATAAAACCTTGAAACCACAAAGCCTTCTTTGATAGATCACATACCTTCTTCTGCCTAGGTAATATCCTGCTGAGTGACACAGAAGAGTGGTGTATATCAATTGCAGGGATAAATGTGTATGCAAGAAATTAAGGTGTCTCATCTCAGTAGGATGCACTGCCCACAAAGATGCCTTGGATTGGAAAATCCAAGGTATCCTCAGATGGTGATAGCCTTGGACATGGTGCGGAACTCAAAGCTCAACAAGATATTTACAGAGCTTAAAGAGGAATGATCTACTTGTTAACTAACTAATAGAAGTTTCCTAAGATCGCCTCTCTGAAAGAATCCTCACAGAAGAGCTTACTGAATTCTTTGGAATAGAAGAGACAAAGACAAAGGCACAAAGGAAGTAATCCCAATACTTGCTATAAGTATTATTCCAGTTAAGTCAATATATAAAAGAAAGCTCAACATTTTCTCATGATGTTATTACAGAATGACAGTGTAATATAAAGCATATAAAACACATGTCTTCTCTGATAGAGAGGCTGGCTTGAGTGACCTGGTACTGCATAAGTTTATGATGATAAAAATAATTGAAGCTCTGTAAGAGATGAAGAAGAAAGGGAAAACAATTTTGCCAAAAATCACACAAGTATATGTACAAGTGCCTGTAGAAAAGATACAACACCCTTGGGGCCAAAAGATTGTTACAGTGTATGTGATACGCCCAAGTGTGAGCCAGTTTGGCCAGGGGGTGACATATGTATCTTTTCTGCAGGCACTTGTACAAATCAATAAAAGTGGTACACAGCTCTCAAAAACCCTCTTTACCATCTCAAAAAAATGTAATGATCTTGGTATAAATTCAATATGCAATTCATTTATTAGCACTCTTCAATGTTGTATTCAACTGCTTTCTAACACATTACTAATAATCATTGATCTTTTTATGATCAATATTCATATAGATTGGCTTATAAACACACATTCTTGATAATAAATGAAGTTTGTTTATCACTAATTGATTCCAGATGGATGATGCTGTTTATTATTGAATGAATGGTGTGTAATTGATCATCAAGGTTTTATGAATTCATCTTATGATTTCATTTCAATGATGGATTTGATTGTTTTTGAAACCCCTGTTTTGGGGCTCTCACCATAATGAAACCTTGAAATAGATTTGGAAGAGCATCTTTGAGCTCTTCCTCTTTTCCTTGTCATATTTTTGCCTGCCAGCACGCCTATATTGTGAGGAAATTTATCTTGACAGATTCAGCATGCAGGCCTACATGTGCGCTGAGTATGACTTATATTTACAGGAACTTGACAGCTCAAATTTGGCACTTTGCTCAAGTAAAGTGGTGCTACAAGTGACACAAGTGGTATACAAGGCTTATAAGAAGCTCTTTTTGATTTTTTGTGAAGTTGCACAATGTTTAGAGCCATTGAAAGAATTCCAAGCAAAGTTGCTTGAAGATTCTGCTGGTCTCAGGCCAAAGTTAATGCAATCAAACCTTGACCTTACAGTTAAGAGGGATGCGGACCAAGATTTCTCTTGAAGAAAAAAAGCTTTGGCCACTTCTAACACTCATCAAGGTGGCCTGTAGCAGTGATGAAACAGAACCTACCCCGCACTGCCAGCATAGATGCGTCGGGTTGAGAAATCCAAGGCATCATTGGAGGCAAATCCTCGGACAGACCTTGTCCAAGGTTTTTGCCCGAGGTATTTTTTTGCCCTGAGAATTACCTCGGATCAAAACCTCGGGAAGCTTCTGTCCGGGGTTTTGCATCCGAGGATACCTCGGATTTTGTAATCCAAGGTAAATATGTTGGTGGTGCCGTTGGCTAGTCTACAGCCCAAAAGACCCCCCCAAAAAATGTTGATAGACTGAATAAGTCTAACAACAAAAGACTAACTGTATGAGGTAGCAGATCTGTGACTGAGAGTGAAAAGAATGATATAAACAATACAAGCTAAAATCACATCCCAGAGAAGTAGTGGAACCACTCATAAAGGTGGCCTGTAGCAATGATGAAAATGATCAGGGAGCAGTCCAGATTTTTATCACTGGTAAAGGTCTAATTTGTGCTCATATGCTACTTGACATAGCACAGCACTTGAAACACTTGTGCTTCTATTGGACAGCCAAAAGGTGAAACAAGATCAAAGCATCCCTCAAAACTCAGATTCACCACAGTATGGCTGACCGTCTTGCTGGAGTTTTTTGTTGTGATGATGCACCAGCAAGTCCCATTGAATCACTGGAAGGACTATGCCAAGACTGCTACTCACCAGATCTTCTCAATGTCTCAACTCAAAAGGTTAAAAAATGTTGGTGGTTGAATTTAAGCTTTCTTAGCTAATAGGATGAGAATGAGATCAAATAAGATAATAATTCTGTACACATCTTCTCAATAAGACCATGTTTCATCAAGACATTAGTCAAAGGTTTGGCCAACCAAACATCTTGGTGCTCCCAAGCTACTACATTTAGTGCAAGTTCCCAATATATAGAGACATTCAGACCCTGTGTAGAACAAGTTCTTAGATGCAGTCTGTATATTCAAATTACCATGAAAGTAATTTCTCATGGACTGACTTCCTTCTGAAGTCAAGTCTTCCCCTGCTTGTTCTACCACTACAAGAACCTGTATTGAATGGTACTCAACAGTGTACAAGTGAGGCCGGAAAAGATACGACACCAGTTTACTCCACCCAGTACACCAGTTGGGGCCAGCGGAGTAAACTGGTGTCGTATCTTTTCCGGCCTCACTTGTACATTGGGCTTTACAGGTGCAGTGTAACAGTACCGTGTTGACAACCCGCTGTAGCAGGGCTTTGTGGCTGCCAACAGGCCTGCTGTAGGCCACAAATCCCTGCTGCAGGGGACAATTGTCACAGGGCCATTACAAATCTAGGTGTGAGGCTAGATCACAAAGCCAAGATATCCCTGCACCACAGCTCCATACAGGAGTGTAGAGAGCACTTTCGGGACCCATCAGACATTGTGCATCCTTGGACATGGATGAACACAGTTTACGGAGATCATGAAACATCCAAGCTTGAGGCTAGAACACAAAACCATGATATCCACACACCATGGCTCCATACAGGGGTGTAGATAGTATTGTTGGGATTCATCAACATTTCACATCTGTCCACGTGGATAAACAAGGTTTACGGAGCTGCAAGCAATATGTGGCTGCACTGGTTACCAGTGCATTCAGATTGGCTGAAATTGACACTGCACCACACTGCCCGCATAGTCGCCTTGGCAAAAAACATTCAAAGAGTCCTTGGATGCCCCCCTGAGCAAAAGGGCACCTGAGAAATACCTCCAAGGCAGATTTTGGCCATTGCCGTTGCCTTGGATGGATCCTTGGTGGGAGCTTCCCTTGGAATCAAAATCCAAGAACTCCTCAGATTTTTGCATCCAATCCAAAGATGCTGGCTGTGCCATTGCACACCGCAGGGGACCAATGTCATTTTGGCCACTGTTCACATTTGCACCACACCACAGCCCAAGTTCTGCGGCTGCAAGCTGCTTTTTACCTGCCAAATACAACCCCTGTGCTGCACTGCGCTTTTATGCGTACAGTGCAAGGGACTTTTCATTTTTGGCACACTGTGCTACTTTCTCAGAGCAGCGCAGTCCTCAAAGTCCCTTTTTCAGGGCAGCACACCTTTTGTGCAAAATGTGCTGCACTGCGCTGAGGTCGGGGGTTGGCATGTGTCTACGGAAATAAGTGAGGCTACAGGGAAGAATCATTAGCCTTGTCAGAAGACCTTTTTGAAGTGTTCTGAAAATTCAATATTTCTAAAGAAGTTTTGAATTGATAGATCTCTGTACAGAGTGGAACATAGTACCATCTGGATCTGCCAGACATTTTGCATGTGTGTATGGGCATAAACCTGGTTTACAGGAACAAATCTTCTGAAGATATCAAAGAATTGCCACAATCTTCTGGAGCTTTCTCAGTAAGGCTACTCTGAAAATGAAATATTGTCAAATTTGTTTTGGTTTAGAGAACTGTCCAGATGGTTGCAGGTACCATCTTAAGTTCTTTTGATTTTTTTCTGAAGGTTCTCTGAAATTTGCAAGTTATGGTAGTCTCTGGCCTACCAGTGACTAGTAGCTGGTCACTGTGCTATACTCCCTTGCGGCCACCCACATCTGCAAGCAATCCCTCACCATCAGATTGTATCACACCTCAATTATGCACATGTAGGATACTCAGTTTTGGTTGGGTGTAACCATGAAAAACTCTTTGAATTGATGCCAACTTTTGGGAGAATCACTTGCATGTTCATCAACTTGCTCTCATTGCTGCAAGCTCTGCTTCACCCTGGACCTGGGGTTTATTTCAATGGTTTGACTTTCAAAGTGGCATTTCTTGAATCTCATCTTCAACCTCACTTCTGAATCCAGCTAGACCTCTCCCCACACCACCCCTCTTCTTACAGGTAGATTGGAATTGTGTAATTTTGCTGAGAATTAGCAAAGTCCACCTGAGAAGTCCTGGTAAAGGCATCATACAACCATAGCACCTTGCTCGCTGCAGATTTGTTTTTCACACATGTGCTTATTGATTGCCTGTGGCAAACATGTCCTGGTTTGTCCCACTTTCATGATTTCACATCACCATTTACCCTATAATATTTATGCCTGCATTGCAATGTGTTGCAAACAAACACACCAATGAATACAATCATCAATACCTCCAGCCCTCTATAACTCTTCTTCTTGCAATTGACACAAATTCAAATGGTCTGGTTGAAGGCAAAAAAATTTGGACCTAGAATGGGTTCTACTACTAGATATTCCTCAGAAGTCAGATTCATAACTCAAATTACCTCTAGAGGTTTGTGCAAGGTCCAGAGGTCAATACCTATAATCTTGTTTGTATTGCATAAGGAAAATAAGGTATTTTTGTGTTCCATCAAGGTTGGCTTTGTCCTCTTCTCCCCTGTTGAATCCATAACAGCAGATTCAGGGTATGTTCAATCATAAGATTTCTGGACAGAAATTGCATTCTGTAAATTTTAAAATGGCAAACTGGACCAACTCCACCAAACCAGCACCTTAAATTTTGCAGAATGCAATTTCTGACCAGTTCTGACCAGAAATTGCTCAAGTTGCCCTTAGTGTACTTTGTATATGAATGCTTCAAACAACTTGACCAAAGTACTCATTCTCGTCAACATTGCTAAGAACATATTCTGATCCATCTAATTACAATGGTGATAGGTGCAGCTTTTGTAGCAATTGTTTTATAATCTATAGTCCATCCATGAAAGATTGGTGTGTACAAGCCCCATGTGCCGCATCTGTGTGCACTGTGCTCTGAAAAATCACCCTCCTGAATTTTTTCCTCTTTTCGTGAACCCTTTTAAATAGTCTCGCTTTCAATTTGCTTTGTCACATCCAACTCTTCCATAGCCCAGAAATGTACGCACCAAGAGCTTCAAGGTCGAGTCGAGAAAGGAGATCGGCTACATGCGCTGCAAACCTTTCATTGGTGATACCATTTCAGATACCCTCACCCAAAACGCGAAGACTTCTCAAATGACCGCTATGCAAGCCCATCTCATCCGGCCACTCACTTCAATCACTCATCTAATCCTACTGCGCCACACAAAAAATCTACCTAGTGAAGATGAGTGAGTATGTCCGTGATATTCATATTTGAGATGACACAAAAACTTGGGCACTAGGAGTAGATACGAGAATAGGTTTAGGCACCATCTGACGTAGCCAAGACGAACGATGGGTAAGCCATCGAGTTGGGCGTGATTGCACTTCTGTGCCGTCTTGTTTGCGATAATGGCTCATTACCTTCTTTACTATGAAGATGCTCTTTACCTTCATGATGATTACCAATCATGTGGATGATCTCGAACTCAGTTCTTCCCACTTTATTCTATTTACTCAAGAAAATTAAAAAGAAATACTATCATCGAGGAACCTCAAGTTTTCCGAGATCTTTCTACTTTGTATAAATCACTTCACCAATTCATATCAATTGTCAGACCCACTCTCCTCTCCATCTTTTCTTTCCAAGTTGTAATACCTTTTAGTCCACCCCATAGCGGACCTCTTTATGCTCTTTGAGTCAGTTGCATCTGTATCTCGAAACTATTCTACTATGGCTTTTGATCCGATTACTTTGCAACCAGTTGCCCCGATTCTAGCTAAACCTACTCATCGTGAGTTTAGCTCGGATCCCCCAGGCTCCAAACCTATTCAACATTGTCGATGTCTTCTCAATGAAATCATAATCCAGATATGCGGGGTTGCCATGTACGTCACACCCGAGCTTTTGGAGAGTGCATGGTCTGTTCCTTGTTCCTATGATCGGTGCAGTCGCCGTAGAGATTATGGCATCATGCTTCAAGTTTGATTGTGCCTGGAAATCCGAGTGAGTTGAATTCAGACCAAATGACTTTGCCAGACCCTCGAAAGCTGATGAAAGACGATCTGAAGGTGCGCATGATGAATCAAGTTGGCTGAGATTGGTCAATAAGAAATATAAGAAAAAAATCATCCCCACTAGCAATAGTAACCGGACGTTTGCCTAAAAAAATCTCAGGGAAGGAACAGTCACATATCAGTCCATCATACTCAATACAAACTCTGATCAGTGTACCTGAGCACAAACTCTCGCGTGTCTGCCCTTGATCTTGAGGAGAATCCGCACTTATCATATAAGTAGACTCCTTCTATCCCAATTACTATCACCTACACATCATTTACAGCCCCCAACTCATCACAACGCTTTTCTGCCTCATCGCATTCACAACCGCTTTGATCTCGCCACTTTTCTTGAATTCTTTTCCCTGGCTATTCTCCAACTAGCTCAAAAATTTAAGGCTTTCTCAACGTCATATCTTGAATATTATTATTACTATCGCTATGTACGCACGCAACTGTGGAGTGAACCTTTGTCTATCTGGTAACGGAAACTTCGAAGACCCTGCGCCACACAACTCATCATACTCAGGACAACTTTTGGCTGCACAGCACCTAGACTCTGCTCGAGAGGATCTGAAGCTCGACATGAGAAAAATGACAAACCTTACGCGCCGGGAGCCCTTCATCGGCGATACAAATTCAGATACCGTCAACCTGGAATACGCAGACATGTCTAATGATCGTTACAGAAATAAGTCTGGTCCGGTTACTCATTTCAAGCCGTCCAAGCCGAGCCCACTCAGTAAGAATCTGCTTGAGGAGCATGGGCTGTCCATGGTAGAGGAGGCTATGTTCTTATTCATGATTGATACAGCCTGTCTTAGGTTAGTCGCACGTCTATCGCATGCTTTTTCGATCTCTTGCTCTCAATGATATATCATGTTTGCGACGTACTCATTTAAAGCTTCTTGTTTGATACATAGTTGAGTTCCATACAACTTTAGATAACAGGATGGTTCCGATCATGTTTTGTGAGACCTTTAAGAAGCTATCTCGATCGATTTCTGGCATCCATTGAAATACCCGCCAAAATAATACCCACCTGATCAAGTAGTCTCGAAGATATCAATCGACCCCTATATGACTGATACAAAACCGAATCCCTCACTTAAAATGATCGGCCTCCTCGCAATGGAAATACCCCGTACTCAAGGAATATTGAATAGCCGGTGTAGGATATGTAATGGAGATTCGGAGCCCATCTTGGCAGGAACCCGACACGACTGAACACAATCCTCAACTCGTCATTCACGGCTACATAGAAACTGAATGTTAAAAAATTGTCCTCTGTCCAAATCTTAGTAGTCAAGTAGCAGACTCTCTCCAGAATCTTCGCTGGACTCTTCTTGTTCGTGTTGTGCATCAGCGTATTTGTTTCAATATTGATTCCTCTTGAACGAAGTGGCTTGTTATGTATGTTGTTAAACTTTATTCAGTTCCGAGAGGTAGTGAGGGGCGAGAAAATTTTTTACCAGTCTTGATTAAAATTAAAAAGTGATTCGATAATTTGTGGCAACCATGGTATATAATCTTGTTGGTCTTTCAGCAACATGAGCTCATAGATATTGTCCCCGTGCGCTATTCCCCTTGTATCTCTAAGCTTGGTCCGTAGTTGAGACTGGTTCATTGCTGAAAGGAGAAAAGCGTTAAGATCAATGGCATAAACAGCTTTGCGATGAAGTCCAATGAGCAGATACCAGTCTTGCACAAGAACGAGGATTACATTCATTGACCTTTTCTGCAAATTTTGTTTCGACAAAGTTGTGCATTGCCTGCGACCGAATTTCAACTTTCGGAGTGATGTTTCCTGAGGAGGCTCTGAGTAGTATACAAGAGATATGAAAAGTAAAATTTGGCAACGCTTGCCTCATGTATCTCCAGTAACAAAGGGCACATGAGTATAAATGAGAGAGGTTATGAAACCTCCAAGGCAACTCAAACTTTTGAACGTTCCCTGATAGAATATGGGTCTTGTGTTAAGTTAGAGGCAGTTGGTGTTTTTGCTTACATTTATCTGCTGGAGCTCCAAGAGCTTTAACCAGGCTAAACCAAATACGGAACGCGAGTCCGTGTTGTTTCCCATTCATTCCCAGATTGAGATGTCGCTATGCCCCTAATGCCCACGACTCTTCATCAGCTCAAGAGAATAGAGTTTTGGGCCAACTGCGCCAATCTTGCAAGTCTATGTCTGGACTGGAATCATGAGAGCTTCTCACGTTTGTGATTCCTCGCCGTTGGCTGTAGGAGTGTAGATTCGGATGCTGAGCTTTTCGCAGCTTTCCACCCCGTTGTTGAAGATATGTCTCATTAATGGTATAGATCGGTAGACCAATCGCGACGTGTTCAGCTGACATCGTGAATTGCTCTGAAAGCAGATCAGCACATTTGCCTACCGTGTCTGCGCCGATTTGTTGAGCGAGGCAATTAGGGTGGCAGTTCGTTACCGCAGGTTTTCATTAAACCATTCCGTGCTTCCCAGCACCAAGTAAAACTAGGCAGGTCTCACCACTTACCCCAGGGTAGCCATCTTTTGCAAAGATTTTGGCCCGTCACCTCGGCCCGCCTTGGAAAAAAGTGTTCGTCAGCACCATCATTCTCAAAATATCATCATAGAAGGCATCGTTGCACTTCGATATTTTGGCGATAAGCTGGTTTCTAGATTCTCATATACTCCTGAATATATTGCTTTGAATTTTCCTTCAACAATTTCAATACACACCATCAGCTATATCTAGTATTTTTGACTTGAACATTTCTGAACACTTTTTCCAATCCCAACGTCTATCATCATGGGTGGCCGCGAACGCACTCAGCCGTATTTCGGTCTTTCCGGCCCACGACTCAATCAAGCCATCGCTACCCTATCTGGCATGGGATTTTTGTAAGCTCCCTAGAACATAAGAATGAAACCGTCGCTTGTCTCGATACCCTTTGACCCAATTTATTTTCCTTTCAGATTATTTGGATATGATCAAGGTGTGATGGGTGGTTTGTTAACCTTGCCCACCTTTGTGGAGGTCTTCCCCGAAATCGACACTATCTCATCGCACCTTACCACTGCTCAGAAAAATTCAAACTCCACTCTACAAGGTGCTGCAGTGTGAGTTCACTTACTTTGAGCACCTTTTCCGAAGAATGATCGGAATCACACTGACAATCACGATATGTACCAATCACAATAGAGCCCTTTACGAGATTGGTGAGTACATATACCCGTCCAACTACATCTCACTTCCGCTTCTCCTGTACTGAGAGTAACCCGACATATCAGGTTGCATGATGGGAGCGATCTCTTGTGTCTACGTTGGTGACAAGTTTGGTCGACGGAAAGTAATCTTTGCGGGAGCCGCAGTCATGGTGGGTGCTTCTATACACTTCACATAGAGTAAAAAACTCCGCATGCTTATTCAAAAACTATATAGGTGATCGGGACAATTCTTCAGGCGTCTGCATTTGGTTTGGCGCAACTCATAGGTAAGCAACACTCAGCCAACTAATGCGCCATCACTTAAGCTAACGTTATCACTTTCTCGTTTTACGTAGTGGGAAGAATTGTCACTGGGTATGGAAATGGCTTCATTACTGCTAGCGTACCAGTTTGGCAATCGTGAGTCGAATCATATTTTACATGGGCGTGCGTCTGCTAATGACAAGCGACCATCGTCCAGGGAATGCTCAAAAGCTCACGAGCGTGGAAAACTAGTCATGTTAGAGGGTACTTTGATCACTGCAGGAATCATGATCAGTTATTGGGTCGATGTAAGCAGCTCATTTTTGACCATCGAAATCCAATTCTGTCATAAATCCAGTGCATCCAGCTAATCAGCTTCTTGGATAAAGTTTGGATTGTACTTTGCTAGCCACTCCTCAGTATCTTGGAGATTTCCAATTGCTTTCCAAGTCGTCTTTGCACTCATTATCATGGCCACAGTTCTTTCTTTACCTGAATCTCCTAGATGGTTGATCAAAAAAGGAATGATCGATGAAGCTCGATCTGTTCTGGCATCATTGGATGGACTTAGTGACCCACATCACCACACAGTCAACAAGGTGATCACGGATGTTCAAAAGTCTTTGACCACTGATGATCAAGCCAAATCTTCAAGCGCACGAAATATGTTCAAGATGGGAAAAACGCGCAATTTTCACCGAGCTTTATTGGCTTTCATGAGCCAATGTTTTCAACAAATCAGGTGAGTTTTTGCATTCCCCTTCAGTAAAATATCGCCAAAATCAACTTATTGACTTCATATCATTTTACCATAGTGGAATCAATTTGATCACTTATGTAAGTTTGAAGCATTCGAACACTCGATCATAACTCCTGTAATCTGATGCTTGGATTGACCCTCGTGCACTTTTCATTCATTTGAATCAGTATGCTGCTACTATCTACGAAAGTCAGTGATAAACGAGATTTCCAAAATTCCTCGCTTCATTGACTGATCGCAATCGACTGCTTCAGATTATCTGCACTTGAGCCCAGTGTTATCCCGAGTATTGGCCGCTTGTACTGGGACGGAATTCTTCATGGCTTCTTGGATTGCGGTGTATACGATCGGTTAGTATTACTTAAGATTTCCTGTTGATTCATCCACTGACCCTTTGAACATGAAAATGACGTAACACAGAGCGATGCGGTCGACGAAAATTAATGTTGATCGGTGCAGTGGGTATGGCTTTGAGTATGGGTGTCTTGGCCTTCGCCGCATGGGCCATCGATCCACATGAGGGAATCAATAGCAGCGCTGCTGCGATTGTTGCTACCGTCTTCCTATTTGTCTTCAATACATTTTTCGCTATCGGATGGCTTGGTATGAGGTAAGTCATCAATCGCTTCAGACTGATTCCAATACTCCAACATCTTTTTAATACTCTCATCTATTTTTCAGTTGGTTGTATCCTGCCGAGGTCGTACCACTTGAAATTCGTGCCGCTGCTACTGGTGTCAGTACCGCATCTAGTGAGTCAAACACTGGTCACCAATTTAAACATGTTATGTGAACTGATTTTCTCTCGGTTTTAGATTGGATCTTCAACTTCCTCATCGTTCTCATTACGCCTGTCGCCTTCCAACACATTGGCTGGAAAACATGTAAGCTCATGTCATTTCGAGTCATATTCCTGCTTTAAAGTAATTTAAAGATTTTTTTGTTTGAAATTCAAATAGATATCATCTTTGCAGCAATCAACAGCTTCATTGTTCCAAGTGTTTATTTCTTCTTTCCTGAAACTGCTTATCGATCCCTAGAAGAGATTGACGCTATCTTTCAAAAATCAGGTTGGTTAAGTGTTGTGTATAATGCTAGACCAAGTGTGACCCCATTAGCTATGTTATCTACCTCATCCCATATGGATGACATTGATACTACATTGGCTCCACAAGATACTGAAAACGAAAAAGGAATAGACACCCCAATAGACTCCATCTTGAAGCTTTGATTTATCAAGTCTTCACTTCTACTTACATGAATTTCGGTAATCTTACAACGCTTCACACATCTAGTCATTCACTTGAATCTTTTATTTCTCTTCCACACCGGCTGTATAGATATGTAAACTATTCATTTTTCAATTTCTTTTAATCTTCTGTCATAAATTTTCTTCATTTCCATCTCTCTCCACAAATTCATTCACTTCTTTTTCTCTTCACTTTATACCTTTCGACTCTGGATTCAACAGAGGCTTCAAGCATTGTATCTTTTCTTTTTCTAAAATACTACTGTAACTCGAATTCAAAATCACAATTGACACTCCTTTTTCATGTGTACACAACAAACAAAATACCAACAAATGAACCTTGACATATTCGAAAGTTACGGAATTTTCAAAAAGTGTTCAAATTATTTTTCGATTGACTCTTAAGTAAAAAATTCCCACTGTTCGACTTTGCTCTGAAATCCGAATTCAGAAGACTTAGTAATTGAGGCTTTGAGCATCATCAAATCTTTTTGCATTGCATTTGGCGTTATTGAACACCCTTCCAATGCAAAGAGGACACAAAATTGAGAACCATGTCCAAGCCTTGGGTCCTGCTGGGGGCTAGCCCATCATTTGAAAAAGTATTGCAGAGTATTTCTCTCGCTAGGCAAACCAGTGATAGCAAGCTGCCTCAATCCACGCCGCACCAGCTCCTCGCGCTCATGAGATCTTGGTAAAGTCAGGAAAGTTGTTTGTTACAAAACATCGAAAAGTATCAAGTGTTGCGCCCCCCCTCAAGTACCGCCTCAGGTAGCATGTGATATTTGTCACTCTCAGCATGCGATATCATTGGGCAAGTCCTTCCCTCCCGAGTAGTAGAGGCTTTGATAAGTTCATCTTGTGCATGATCAGTCCCACCAATTTAACTTGTGATCAAGCTGATTGAGTCTCCATCATCGTTTGACATTTGCCCATCCTTTAAGTCATGAGCAATATCATTTCCCCGTTATGTAAGTGATGAGCAAATCTCAGCAAATCTGACCGCAAGAAAGCAAAAACACGGGGATTGAATTTCCGAATTTGATCGAGATCCACAAGCCAGACGATAGACCCATGGAAAAGCTCGGCTCGAGGAAGATTTCTGTGATTTTTAAAATGCTAATCCAAAATCAAGTGATCATAACCTATCATGACATAAAACCCAACATCAAACGTTGAGAAGGCATCCTGACCCCAAAACAATGGATCAGAGTCACAGATCCTTCAATTGAAATGGCCTTTATAAATTTCAAAATGGATGGGCTAATGAATGAAGTTCAACAAATTGATTAGTATCTTAGCTCCAAGCACATCTTCAACCCATATCTAACGTGATGGCTCAACTAAAATGATGCGTGAATTCATATTTCTGAAGACTCAAGAGGTGCAGTACAAATGATGTTGAATGTTACATGAGTTATGTAACCACACCTGTATTGTACTACGTATATGGAAATCTTTACGATGCTCTTGATGTCGAGTCTCGACACACCCTTCTTTAACACGCTGCTTGATTCCGGTACATATATTCTTGACAACCCAACCCCTTGCTAACTATTTAAAGAGTCCTTTTCATCCCAATCCAGCTCATTTACAAATAGAACCATCAAATATTTGATCGTCTTTGAATAGTTGATATTTTAAACTTGCCAACCTCATTTTACATTAATATCGCGATTCCTTTACAAATTGATATCTTCCAATCATCGACTTGATCTTTGCTTTCGACCTTCAGCCGCTTGTGAACTTCCATCACCACAACCTGTAAGCTGACCAACGAGATCCACTTTCTAAACATCAGCTCAAACTAATCTAATCACATCTCCTCCTTCTTGGACAGATAACAAACCTACGCAAGATGTACGACGTGATCCTTCCAAGTACAGTGAACCCACCCCTGGGGCTCCAATATGGCGTAGACTTGAATGGTCAAGCTTACTATTACCAATTGGCTCCTCCTGCCTGGACTTGGGCCGATGAATTTGGTTATGATGATTTGTATTATGTACCTACCTACGTTCCAATAGATTCTTATTATGATGAATATTATGATTATCTTTGAAGTAGGATATCAGGCTTTCCAAAAAAACAAACAAAAAAACAAATCATTTTTCTCAATTTTACACCTTAGTCCTTTTCTTGCTTTCTCTCTTTCTTCAAAAAAGTTCAAAATATTCTTCTGATCTATCTTATATTTGTTCTCAACTTTCGTTTTCAAAAAAAATCTTCATTTTTCTTTATCATCTCTGTGAGATCTCATGTTGTCTGATTTGATTTTATTAATCTTGAACTTTGTACTTTGATTTACTTTGTAACTTTGGATTATTCACCAAGTTGAAAAACACTTTCTTTGATTTCTGATTCTTGTGGTTTTTGAATTTCTTTTTCTCTTGACTTCACAAGTTGTACTGTTCATTTGAATTCTCTTTGTCACTTCCAGTACCTGATATCTGATCTGAAAGATAACAAAAGCTCTCTGTATACTGAAATTATCTTTTGGCCCATCTCCATCTGCAATGAATGAGTGCGTTCACTTGACTTGTAATCATTTGTAATTGCCCAGCTGAGGTGTAATATCATCTACAGTGGGTAAACCCGAGTACGTGTTCCAAGCCAGTCCGCATAGAGGTTTGGGTCCGAAATTTTTGAGAAATTTTTGCCATTTTTTCTGCTTTTTTTTGGCGGGAGAGTAAGGTTGAGGGGTGGTGTTAGGCTGCAAAACTTTTGGTTTTTTTTGAAAAAAAAGCAAATTTGGTTGTTATTTGCCACTTGAGCAGCCATATTCATTAAATTATAGGCCTAGTGCGCCGCTAAGTAGTTAGATAGGTACCTAATTGAGGCCTAGGTCCGAAAATCCAAACCTCTAAAAGAGTAAAATCATATTTTTGGTCTCCAAAACCATATTCCTAGATTCATCAAAGCAATGCCTTTTCAATGGTCTGGGTGCCAGTCTCAAACATTCAAATTGAGTGCCCCGACATTGACCCGAAAGGTGAAATTTGATTTTGCAGGGCAGGTCGGAACACGTACTCGGGTTTACCCACTGTATTTGAGAAAAATATCTCAATGCTTCTGTATGCCGTCTTTAAACACTCAAGCTTGAACAATGGTCTGTTCTTTTCAGTTTCCTATCTCTACTCCAAGTTTTCAACACATTGTTGTGGACATGACAGGGGATCAAAGGCACATGCAGGTCAAGATAATTTGTCAAGTCCAGCTGGTCTATTCCAAATCTAAGTTCAGTTCTGGACAACAAATTTGCAAAATTGGTGGCTGTAGACAATACAATAGAGTTCTTGGATTTCAAACTCAATTACAATAGATAGGCATCATCAATAAAGTGATTGATCAGATACAAACCAAACATTTATTTATTACAATCCAGGTACAGATTGGCTAATTAATAATTATCTTGTGAAATCACCAGCATTCAAGCCTGTCAAAGTGTATTCCTGTGTCTAAGTCCCCGCAGTCCCACCAAGCTCACCTACTTGTTCCAACTTCCCACATCCCACATTCAACATGTGTTTGGAGATTAGTGGGACCAGGCCTGCAACAGACATAAGTATGTGACCAAGCTAACTCTATTCATGCAATAAACACAGACACATGACGGATAGTGTAGCCTGTCAAATCAAAAGTACTTCAAAAACTAACGAATTAAAGAACTGATCAAATTTCACAATATCAAAAAAAATGGAATAATTTATAAAATCTATCACTTGAAAGACAACCATCTTAGTCTTACAAAGTTGATGTGGCACATTGATTGATAAACACCAACCATAACATACCAAGAATGACAACTTAAACCCAATAAAAAAGCTTCTTATTTGTAATAAATACCTCATTCTTTTATTCACATCTTTTAAATCCGTAGTCTGATGTTCCCAAAAGGTCTTCAGAAAAATCATTTTGAATACCATAATTCTTGGGCATTTGGATCATTTTGAAATCAAGATCAATAGGAGATGAAGTGCAAAATTGATGTGTTCACACTCGTTCAGTTTCTCATATCACTTCATTAGATAAAGTACCTCGAGAGAATCAGGAACTAATCTTCACCGTGATGGAGCCTGAAGTCGGGGATCCTTTTCGTCCTGTTGAGCTTCTTCTTCCTCTTCCTCCTCTTCCTCTTCCTCCTCCTCGTCTCCAGAACTATCTTCGTCTTCATCAGAACTATCTTCATCTTGAACTTCAGTTTCTTCCTCTTCACTCTCCTCTTCATTATTCTCATCCTCCTCCTCATCCTCCTCACTACTCTCCAAAAATTCATCTAAATTTGAATATCCTCCTCCTATCTGTCTCTTTTTTATCCCACCCTCACCATTATCATTCTTGGGTACAAGTACTACCTCTTCTCTTTGTTGAGCACCTTTTTGTTGATAAGATTGATTTGAGAAAGATGATGAAGATGGAAAGTGACTCGATTCCAACTTTTGATGGCCTGAATTCGTTGTTTTCTCATTCTCATCTAGCTCTGGATTCCTTATGATCGATGATGAAGAAAGTTTAGTCCAAGGTGGAACAGTATTCCAACTCAAGTATCTACTCGTAGTTTCATCTTGAGCTGTTCCAAGTTCGTCTTGAGTCGAAGGTAATCCAAACATACAATAAAGACTATTCACTTTCAAGGGTTTTTCGAGCACTTCTTGATCACTGATGACTTTCTCTAATAACCTATCACGAGGGAACATGATCTCTTTCAAAACACTAAGACTTAATTTACTCGATGAATGATTAGGTTCAAGATGAGCTGAGATTTGTTCACCACGTAAGAAAGCTTCTTCTTCAGACATAGGTAAAACACCTTGTGATCCATGATCTTGAATTTCGATTTGATTATCAATTGTTTGATCATTTAAATCAATTCCACCCAACTTAATCAATCCTTGTAAATATCTTGCTCTATCTCTTAATCCATAATCTTCATCATATCTTGCTAATCTCATCACATGATCAAATCCTAATTGATAAATTCGTTTTTGATCATATATGTTTAATGAATTTAAAACAGTTTGTTTTAAACAATACAAAATTAAAGATTTCGTAATCAGTCCAATGATTTGATATTTAGATAAAATTCCTTCTTTAATAAAATTTTCAATTGAAAATTTAATGATTTCGATAAAATTAGGATTTGAACCTGAATTCTGATAATGAAATTCCCCCAAAAGCCAATAAAGATTTGCACGCGTTGAATCATTTGTAATTTGATCACGAATTAAAATTTGTACTAAATCTTTCATTAAGTTTGGAAGATCTGGTAAGATAGATGAAGAACTGGTTGGTAAGATTGAAAGAAATGATCGTAAAACTTGAATGGCTGCAGACATAACATGATCTGTGATAAAATCCAAAAAGTCAGTATAAAATTGAATCAAGGATCTTACTAAGTGAATAAGATCAGAAGTCATAAAGAGATGATGATAAATCATTCACAGGCGCACAGTCGCTTTCTTTTGTAAGTTGGACCAATAATTTCACAGCTTGAATCCTACCATCACCAAACGTATTCATAGCCAAATGTCCAATCGATTTAGTCACTTCTTCAACAAACACAGGATCTGAATCTCTAACATAAAATTTAAATTCTTTGATGATGATCTTGACTTGATCTTCTAAACCAGATGAAACAAAGCTAGTAAGGATCTTCAATTTAATTAATTTCACCGAACGAGAATCACTAGCACATGAAATAAAGAAATCTGAGAGAGATTGTCGAAAGAGTCCTGAGATTTGTCCAGGAACTGAGATCAGAATTTGATAGATCTGATGCAAGACCGCAAGATAATTCCCTTCGTCTTGTTCTACTTCACTTTGTGATAAGAGTCTCATCAATGGATCCACAATGCTCCCTAATCTCGTGAGGGGTGCAACATATAAGAAGACATTTGTAGCTGAGATGATGATTGAAGGATTTCTTGAGTAAAAGAGTGGAGTGACAGCATTTAGTAGAAGTTCTAGATCAGGGTCTGAAACTTTTGTTGATTGTTGATTTCGATTCGGATCTTGAAGATGTTCTCTTGCATACCTCGTCATCAATCGCATGATCGTGTTTTGACCGTTTTCATCCGCATCCAAGAGTGAACGACAATAGAATCGATATTGTCGATGAATTAAATCCCATCGATTAGGGCAAATTATCTCCCAAGCGGTGAGAACAGATCCAATAACGAGTGGTGATCGATCTTTTAACATCCTTGTCAATGGACCTTCGATCAGTGCTTCTCCGTACGAACTGGCATCCACACTGAAGACATCGATCAAAGACTCGGCCACTGTACAACGTACAAACCAATTTGAATCGTTGAGGAGTCGATTGATAGACATCATAACCAAGGGCAAAACGGATTCTAGAGACATTCCAGCAAGTGTTTTGAGAGCCAGAGAACGCATGACCGGGTTTGAATCAGAAAGATCTTTTTGCCATGAATTGACCGATAGTAAAGCCAGATCAGGAGAAAGATGAGCATGGTGTAAAATATAGATTGATACCAAATGTCGAATGGTGAATGAATGTGTTGAAGCCGTGTTGTTGTTAGGAGAATGAAGCTGAGTAGGTGAATGTAGACAGTTGGAAACGAATGGGAAATAAGATAAAACTGATCTCTTCCTGCACATTAACTAAAAAGAAAGAAAACAAGAAAGAAAGAAAGAAATCAATGTTATCAATTTGACCACACTCTTAAGTTCAAAATCAAGATAAAGCTTTGCACAGACATACGACTAAAACCCTTTTCAAACCTTCAAGTCTTTCATTTTCATGTTTACTTCCAAGTAATTTTTTAGTTTCAATTTCACCATTAACACTAGAAATCTCTAAATGTCTATCCCAAAGTCTTGAGTTATTTAATATACCTTGAGCCATCTTGGGTAATTTTGGATTAATCCCAGTCGAGCCTGGTGAAATTGCTGCATTGTATTCTGCATCTAAGCCTAAATCTTTGGATCTTTCTGAGATGTTTTCGGCGATTCTTGCTGATAAACGTTGAGCATGAGTGGTGATTGATGATAAGTCCATTTTATAATTAATGTGAGAAGAATATAAGAAGGTTGAAATAGAAACTGCAATGGGTCCAACTTCCAAGAGATGAAATCAAGTCATTGACACTCAAAGTATCGGATCGGATATTCATGATACCGGTACAGTCAAATCGGAAAAGCTTGACCGATTTTGCCCGCAAAACTCGAGCAATTTGGCGGGGAATTTGTGACAAGCTTTTCCGGTTTGACTGTAATCGGATCATGAAGAACTTGCTAAGAAAGTTGAGAACACCTGACACATTTTTGTTCAAGTGAAGAAGGGTTCAAATCATTTGCAAGAAACTTACAATTTATCATGAACAAGATCTTAAAATCAAGAAATGAAAACATCCATCAACACTATCAAACTATCATCTATCATTCCATCAACACTTAAAAAACAAACACAAGAAAACTTATCTATATCAAACTCAAACTCTACAAGTGGTGATACTACTACTACCAACGAAAACGACTTAGAATCAGATTATCATCGAGTCATGGAAGAATCAAATTATCCTTCAGATGAAATAGAAATCATCAAAATTGATTCCAATCAAGGAAAGCACGATGAGATTTTATTTTCAATTTCTTTCTTTCTTTTCGGTTTATTGTAAGTCATCACATAAAACAAAACACTTCACATCATGAAACACTACTGACATCACATTGTGTATCTGTTTTTTTTCGTTTCGGGTATTGCTATTTAGGAATAACGTTTTATATGTAATCATTATCTCGGCTGCTTTGGATTTGGTTCCATCTGATGTACCTCCTGGTATCATTCTCTTGGCAGATATTACACCTTCTTTAATTGTTAAAATCGGTTGGCCTTACCTGGTGAGTTGTTTATTGAATCCATTCATCTAACTGAAACTGACATTATTACAGGTCAGAGGTGATATTCGTTACGAAAAAAGGATAATCAGCTGCAGTGTGATCAGTTTCGTGGGAATGATGGTCAGTCACCTCAATCTTCATCTAAACTTTAGATTAAAAAATTTCATCAAACTAAGCTCATCTTTTTAAATTTGAAAAACAGGTGATTGTGATCTTTCCGAGTGTAACGATGAGATTAATTGGAATCAGTCTAGCAAGTTTCTCTTCAGGATTAGGCGAAATGACATTCTTACAATTAAGTACTACATTTATCAACAAAACTGGAGTAAGTTGGTTTGCTTCGGGTACTGGTGCTGCAGGAGTGGTTGGAGCTGGTTGGTGGTGGACTCTAAGGAATATGGGGATCAAAGTTGGATTAGGATTGAGTTCAGTTGAGTTTCTTTTTGATTTGCTTGTGTTTCACTATCACAACGAAGTACGACGAAATCCATCAAACTTCTCACATTTGGTTTCTTATTCTAGGTCTTACCAATCTGTCTCTCATTAGTATATTTCTTTGTATTACCGTTTTCCTTGAAAGAATTACTAGACGAAGCTTCCCAAATCACCACCAATGGATATACCGCTCTTAACCATGACGAAGATGAAGTAGCTGTCTCGAATACCTCAAAAACATCAACATTGACTTTCAGAGACAAACTTCGGCTAGCTCGACCATTATTCTTGCCATTCATGTTACCATTGTTTACCGTTTACTTTGCTGAATATACTGTAAGTCAAATATTAATCTTTTCATAGGCTGAGCTAGAAGTGTCAACTAATATATCATCTTTGAGTTCTTTAGATTAACACGGGCATTGCTCCCACACTGTTATATCCTGTTCCAACACCCGATCATCATGGAGTCTTTTCACATATCATAAAGAGCTTAAAGGACTATTATCCTTTTTATCAATTGACCTATCAAGTTGAGTGAACTCATCAACACTTTCTAATGACCAAGATCAAGAGTTCCTAATATCTTTTCTGGCTCGTTATAGATCTTCGTATTCTTTTCACGATCCTCAATAGCTATTCTTAGATTACCCCCTATGCCAAAATCACTGATCTCATTACCTAGTCTGATTCAAGTCTTGATCTTTTCGATTATCTTACTTGAATCATCTCATCAAATTTTATCAAATGCATTTACTTCTGAATTCATCTATACTATCATCTTTGCTTTGATTTCACTTGAAGGGATTTGTGGTGGACTAGCGTATGTGAGTGCGTTTTATTGGTTAAGTCTAGAAGACGATCATAAAGAGTTCAAGATTGGATGTGTTGGGTTTTCCGATACGATTGGGTATGTCTCAATATCTTTCATTCATTTAGAGATTTGATTCGACTTTTTGATTGACCCTACTTTTTCCTTGAATTGCATTTCGATTTCTAGGATCCTTTGTGCATCTCTCTTTAGCTCCTGGCTTGAACCTAGATTATGTGGGATTCAAGTTTCACGAGGACGTACTTTATGTCGTGAGGTGAAGAAGCTTTAAACCCAATCCCATTTCTTCTTGATAGCATACATTGTGTTTTTTTAGCATTTCCCTCACTCTTTCTTAAGCTGTTTTGCAAATGTTTTTTTTTCTTTGGTTAGAGTTTATCTGTTTGAATGAGTTGCTTGAATGTACTTGGGATTTCATTTGTTGTTTTATTGGATTTGATAAATAATCAATCTTACTAAAGTCTTTGTGGACCAAAAGTAAGTTCAAGTGATTCAGAAGATTGATGGAGATCAGGTGAAGTTCAGATCACTTTCACAGGATTGAATGATCAGTCATCAGCTCAAATTAGAGATCATCTTTAGAATGGCTTATGATCCTAATGATCTAATCTGATTCTATGATGCTGTGTAAGATTCTGATGCTGTTCATGTGTCGAAGGATGTATGACGTAGTGATTCTTACTAAGAACTTGAATGATGAGTTTAATGATGAGATGATCATCAAATCATCTTGATGGTCTACACAGAGAAGACTTGTGTTGTGATTTTGTTTGTTCTCTGTCAAATTCAGAATTACCCAAAGTCTTGTCATCTCGTCTGTTTAAATTTGGCTCATCATCTTTCATTCTTACTTTACCTTTTGATGATGTGTTTGTTTTACTCCAGCATTCGAGCTCTAGAGATGGTGTGGGTCAATTTAGGGTCTGCCGGTGTCTGACCTACAAATCCAACCATCCCCCTTGATCAACTAGGGATGAAAAGCTACTGAATCATCCCTTCTACTGTTACAAACTCGCCTTCCCAATCTATCCGCGCAATAACCAAGACTCGTCGATCTCACTTCGTGACAAAGCTGGACTTTAACCTTCAATCGAAATGGAGTTTTCGGCTCTTCAAGCCAAGATCTTCTGTGTATCGTTCTCGATAGCGTAGTGGCTTGTCGACCGAGCTGAACTCGTTTGGAGACAAAACATCCCATCACATAGATACAATTTGGTATCGTAGTCCACAGAAATTGACAACGAGGACGAGAAAGACAAATAGTTTCGAGAGTTATGTCGAATAGATTTTCGGTCACAAAGTTTCCGAAGATCGTATTTGAGTATGCAGCATGCGAGCACTGATGGCGTCGGTCGAGTTGAAGCTTGTTGGTCACTCAATTGCCCTCCCCTTGGTCATCCGATTCCAAGGATAAAAAGCCCACATTGGCCCACAATGACCTCCCCAACCTATCCGAGCAATAATTACTCACTAAAACGATAATCGCATTTCATCACAAAGCCGGACTTTGACCTTTGATCAAAATGTTCCTTTCTACTATAACAGCCAGTATCTTCTGCGCATTGTTCTTGGGACCAAACGTAGCTGGAGCGATCACCTTGAAAACCCTTGGACATGGATCAACGTAAGATGATTGTGTTTTTATCTCATGATTTCCATACATGCTAATGATGCATCATGAAAAATCTCTTCTTCCTCTTCTCTTGTTGATCCTCCATCGGTTCTGTGTGGTATATTTTAGGCTTGTACGTCGGCGTATGGGTGTTCAACACAATTTCATAAACGTTGAAGGCTGTCCACAGGAGATTTGCGGTACATTACGTAAGTTTGACTAGGCCTGCGGCTGGGTTTGACATTTTGGAAAACCATCAAAGAATTGAACATTTTGCCTTTCCATTTTCTTCCTTTTGATGTTTATTTCAATGTGTTCGTTTTTCAACAATCAGTGTATAGTGTAGGTCAAACTTTGTTCGTGATGGCACCTCCGTGTAAAGCACTACATCATGCTGAAAAATTGATTGATGCAGCGGTAAGATCAATTGTGTAACACCAATCACTGTGGGATGATAATGAGATTGATGGTGAAATTTCTTTTGTAGAATGATCCAAGGCTCACGAATCCAAAGACTAAAGAGCAACTCATAACACTGGCCAAGGCTATGTGTCAAGTGAGTAATCCCATTTTCTTTTATCCAGATCCCATCAAAGACTACATCTCAAAGATCAAAAAGTGATATGAATTGAAGATATGAGGAAAAGATCAAATCTTCTGACTGAAGACCTTGTTTGAATGAATAACAGGCTGAAAAGAATACACCTGATGATTGGCAAAAGAATCCACCTACCAAATTGAATTCTTTGTATTGTCATGACAAACCAAAATATAAAGAATTAGAAGGTTTATTCTTCAAACAAGCTCCAAATAATGATCCCAATTTTTTCTTTGATCCTGCATCTCACAAGACAGTCAAATTGGATGAACTTCCTACAACTAGGCCTTTGAACTCCAAGGAGAGTAAATCACTGAATGCTACTTCAACCACTTCCCTCAACAGTACTTCAACTACCACTACCAATGCTACTTCAGCTACTACGCCTGTCAACTCTACTGAAAATTCTACGCCTGTCAAAGCTGCTGAACCTACAACTTCCAATGCTACTGACTCCAAACCTAAGTGAGTTTCCTTTGGCAAGTCTAAAGATGGAAAGCAAAGACCAAGGGACAAGGGAGTTACCAAATACCCTTACTTTGCATGCTGGATTTGGATATTTAGCAGATAAACTCTTGTAATCACACTTTAAGTTCCAGCCTGGATGTTTGACAATGAGTGGCAGCTTCATATCTTCCTTCTTATCTACTCTCTTGATATCTTGATCTAAACTTTTGTTGTCTCATCACTACAAACTTAGTACTTTATAACTTGAATGTCTAATACCAACATGCAATTGCATGTGTCATGAAATTTTGAATCATCATGTGAATATCATATTTCACAATCTCTGGAATGCTAAGAAGGGTGAAGTTAAAATGAACAGATAACTAAAATCCAGGCAAAAACAGATAGGAAGCAGGTGCCAAATTTCAACTAATTTTTACAGGATTATGAATGAGGTAAGGTAAAATGCAAGATATGACAACTTTATCTTTTGCCTAACAGGGGGTCTTACTGGTGTGGGGTCATACCAGTAATTACATTTGATAGGTCTGACCCAAAGACACTTCAAGCAATGGCAAAAGTGTGATGAAAGTCTTCTTGTTCCTCTACTAATTTCAAACTCAGGATGCAGGTTACCAAATAAATGAACTTGACTATACTTTTCCAGATAATCCATCCCTGTCCTTGGATTTCCGCCTATGCCAGAGTCACTTTTGTTATCAACTAGTCTGTAAATTCAAGTCTTTAGATTTTATAGTCTTGCTTGAATCATCTAATTTTATCTTAGTCAAGTTTGTTGAGATAGTGTGGTGGCCTGTCGACCGAGTTGAACTCGTTTGGAGACAAAACATCCCAACCTATACATGGTTTGGTATCGTAGTCTACATAAATTGAAAACGAGGAGGAGAAAGATCAATGAGCTCGAGATTTATGTCGAATAACTTTTCGGTCTCAAAGTTTCCGAAGATTGAGTGTGTAGCATTCCAGCACTGGAGATGGCGTCGATCAAGTTGAAGTTTGTCGGTGTTTCAACTACCTTCCTTGTTCATCCAAGGATTAAAAGTCCGCATCCTCTCTATTTTTGCGTACAATAACCTCCCCAACATATCAGAGCAGAATAATAAATTCTTTAACCTATTTCATCACGAAGACTGACTTTAACCTTCAATCAAAATGTTACTTTCTGCTATAACAGCCAATCTCCTTGGTGTATTGTCATTAGGAGTAAACCTAGCTGAAGCAATCAACTTGAAAAATCTTGAACCTAGCTCAACGTAAGATGATGTTCTTTAGATCTTACAGTCTCATACAAATGATATCTAAATCCTTATTATTCTCTTCTCTCTCTCTCTTCTTTGTTCCGTGGGTTTTGCTTGGTATGTTTTAGACTTGCACGTCGACGGATCGGTGTTATAAACAATTTCCCAACAGTTGACGGTTGTGGAGAGCCCTGCGGTCAATTACGTACGTTGGAGCACCCTAAAGCTGAAATTGAGTTTAAATTTTTGCAAAAATCTCAATCAATTTGACTATTTGTCTTTCCTTTTTCTTCCTTTTTGAAATCTGTTTCAATTTTTTCCTTGTTCAAAATCATAGTCTATAATATCTCTAAAGCATTCTTCGTGATGGCACCGACGTGTGCTGCACTGCATCAGGCTGATCTGCTGCTTGATGTATCGGTAAGCTCTTTTATATTATCAATCGCGGTGGGATGATGATGAGATTGATAGTAAGATTCCTTTCATAGACAGATCCAAGGATCAAGGATGAAAAGACCAAAGAGCAACTGGTAACACTTGCAAAGGCTTTAGTCTCAGTGAGTGGATCTATTTTCTTCTATCGAGATCTCATCAAGGAGTCCATCTCACAGATCACAGAGTGGTGTGAATTGAACTGACTACACAAAGAGCTCAAATGAACTAATTGATGTTCTTCTTCAAAATCAAAAACAGGGTGAAAAAAACACAGCAGATGATTGGACAAAGTCTCCATCTTTAAAATTGAATTCTTTGTATTGTCGTGAAGTTCCAAGGCATCCAATCTTGAACGGTTTACACTTCAAGCAAGCTCCGGGTAATGATCCGAATTTATTCTTCAACCCTGACGGTAAGAAGACAATCAAATTGGATGATATTCCTGAAACTAGACCCTTAGAATTCAAGGATGGTAAACCCGTTGGTCCAGTTTCAGGAACATCATCTGATAAAACCGTGAAGGGGACTAAATCATAGAATCACTTGAGGGCCGAGTTCATCAAGAAACCTATCTCTTCCACCTTTACACTAGCTTCCTTGATGTCTGGTTCCAACTTCTGAATCATCGAGTTTGACCTCTTTAGGCTGTACATAAACCACCTTAAAAAATTCGCTTTTCTGTCTCAGATGTTGCCACTTAATTGTACATAAAGCTACTAAATCTTTCCAATCCTCTTTTTTGATCATCTTCAGATATCCTCAGACAGAGCTACATACTTGAAGTTTACTGAAATTGCATCCTTAACACCGAGATAATCTGTAATCTTCTGAAACAAATCCTGATCAAGGCACGCGAAAGAGATCCAATTCCAACATTCGGCCCTTGGCTTTAATCACAGGGTAATGTGATTATTCAGATCGAGGCTAGAAGATGATCTTGAGGGATAACCATAGTAAGTTGAACATATTTTTCCAAGGATAAATCATCAGAGAGTAAAGGAAATCTACATTCCGCTGAAGGTGACAATGTCATGACGATGTAACCATATGAAATTATTGCATGATTCTGGAGGTGAGACACGATCAACTATGCTGCGTGATGTATTACGTCATATGCACTGAGGGTAAACACAACTAAATCTTCATAGAGTCTTCTTTATACATAGATGCAATACACACGACACTAATGGATTAATCGTGATTCGGGCGGATTTCGAAAAACATGACGTTCTAGTCCGATAATTTTGAAAAAGACCCCCTCTAGACGAAATCTGGTCTACCTTGCGTACCTGATAAGGAATATCTACAAACTAGTGCATGATTGGTATTTCATATGACTCAGTTAAGATTACAGCCTGGGCTTACTAAAACAAGAATGATATAGCAAGAGCCCGTGCCGGGGCTTCCAAATAGGTACATGATGACGGATTGATTCTGTTCAAGCCACCACAGATTGAACCGCGGGTTCATTCAATGGCAAAGCATATTGAAAATCGGTCGAATTCTCGTAGTCATACTTCAAGGATTACAATCAGTATTGACTATATAGCTTCTGCTTCCTCGAGACTACATCACTCACCATGTCCAAAGCCACTTCACAGCTTTCGCGTACCACATGACTTGGCTCATCAGTAGATGCAAAAGTTTTCAAGGCTTCGAGTACATCAGGCGTAGCAATCGAGCCTAGGGCTTCAGCTGCCTCATGGCGAACCATTTCATCCTCTTTGCCCTAAGAGAAATTATTCAGATGAAGTCAGCTGAGATGAGTTGGTTAGAGATTTGACTGAAACTATTTACGTTCTTTAGCACTGTTAGAAGAGCCGGCACTGAAGCAGGATGAGATAGTTGTCCGAACACATAAGCTATTTCATGCCTATTTTGAGTATTTCAAGAGTCAAGGACCAATGAATCAGTTTTGCGAGGTAGCATGACGTTCAGTTTGATCACAATGTTGAATTGTTCAAGCGGACTCACCTGAACAAGGCACTTTCATCTGCGAACCCAGCAGCAAGGGCATCAACAGCTGCCCGAGCTATTGTCTCTCCCTCACCGCCAGCCACCCCACTAGCGCGACCCACAGCGTCCCGAAGCCCAAACATCGCACGATACCGTTGAAAAAGTGATAGTTCACGATCAAGCAATATTGACCTCATTTCACTCAAATTCTCGGATCCTGGGACTGCATCGTGCATTGCTCGAATCATTGAAGGTGCTGGATCTACGGTACCATATTCGCCTGGTCCTAAACTTGAAGACTCATCTTGATGATGGTCATGTTCAATCTTTCCGATTGCCAATTCACAGGTTTCTCGTACGGCTATCTCGGGATCATTTAGAAAACTTTTCAAAATTGGAATTGATGACATGTCGGAGATGGCACCCATAGCCTCAGCCGCCTTTGTTCAATCACAAAACGAGGCAATTTGATGAGTTCATGTTGATAAGTTATGGCAATATTAATGGACATCTACCTCGTGTCGAACCATGGGATGAACCGCCAAATCAGCAAGGGTAGCTCCCAAAACTGGAAGAGCTGATGGTCGACGGATTTGTCCCAAACAGTAAGCAAGCTCGTGACCAAGTAGAGCAGAAGGTAAAGGGCTTCCATCTGTAGGTCTCAAGGCTTCTGATATCGCCGTCACAGCTGGCTCACTGGCCAAACTACGTAGCGTAAACAGTGCTCGGAATCGAGAAGCCAGAGGAGATTTGCCATTCCGGTTGACAAGAATATCATGAAGTTCAGAAATCTGATCAGCGGAAGCCGTTGGGACTGTGTTAGTGATAGTCATTGAGGAGTCGTTGAGTGATTGTAGACTGAAAATATGAATAATGATGAGAAGCTGAGTAAAGTTTTTGGACGCGCTAAAAATTTCAACATCCAAACTCCGCTTGAGTGAAAATTCACTAGGGTACATGCGGGGCCGACAAAATCTTGATTTGCTTTGCCCGATGAGACTCGGTCCCTTCTTTCGCAACACGAGTCAAACGACCGGTCGGGGTGGTACCGCATCGCTGACATTACCAAAAGCTCAAGGGACTTTTGAAGGGAATTCACTTTCTTCAGTGAGCGATTCGAGTCTCGACAATCTGACAAAGGTTCTGAAATGCCCTTTGAATGTCGCCATGTTGATGGTTCGTGACTATCACTCAACAGCTAAGCTACGCTTTTGTCCCTTCGCCCCTCATTCTCACATTGACGGATGTGCGGTATGTCCCCTAAGACTGAACCTTCCAATCTGGCTCTCCTTTGTGCGTTGATGAGGCTCCATTATAGCACCTGAGGATTGTTATCAGCATATAGACAAATGCTACGGCAACCGTAGTGAGTGTGAAGTTTTTTTGCTCACAGCCTACAAGTCATAGCTTTATACGACGTCCCAGTTGATATCAGTTCTTGAACTCTGTGTAGGATTTACTGAGCCCTATTGAGACTCCCTTTGATGCACGAGTCATCTTCATTCCCAGTAACCGGAAGTTGACTACATATGCAGTGTCTGTACGCTGGTCCCTCAGCATGGAGAAGAGGATTGACTGGAATGATTAAGCATTCAAATTGACAGACTTTCATCGTCTGCTACCATATCTGCTTTCTTTCAAGATGGGTTTTTGGCAGACCTGATCAACAACAATGCTAAGGAAATCTTCATTCCGCGAACATTTGGCATAAGCAACTTGCCTTTTTACCGAACCACAACCTCTCTGACAGACTTTCTTCTTGTTATTTTTTTTTGCTTTCAAGCACACTAATGACTAAAAGCGTTGTCTAGCTATTCGATATCTTGACTTGCGTTTCTTCATCTCATCATAGTAACTTTTTTACTTTTCCCCACTTGTGCATACATTCATCTCGACTGCGACTCTCGTTCTCTCATATCTTAGCTTCTAATCAACAGCCATATACATTTCTTTATATCATCCCTCCATATCTACACATATTTTCATCGAACAATTTCAACAACTCGAATATCTTATAGCTGCTCTTTGGAACAGTGACAAGCTCATTACATCTCCACAACTATATCTTCGACGGAGGTTTACCCTATACTTCACTCATACAATAATCAAGATGCTCTTCCTTGCCGGTTTACTCAAGCGCTCCTCTATTTCATTTATCTTCGTTTCCATTGTTCGTGCAATCTCGATTTTGGCAATCATCTTCATGGTAGCCATTGAGCTCTACCTCATGATCGATGGCATAAAAATGGCTCACTCGGCGAATGTGAAACCTGCAGATAGTTTCAACTCCAGTAGCACCTTTGATTCTAGTTTGGACTCAACCACTCGCAGCTCTAATACATCTTCATCCAAGTCAAAATTCTTGGCTAAAGTGGATGGATCTGTGGCGACTGGACTATCTGAATGCCACTCGGATTATGTCTCTGGAACATTTATCCCTAAATCTGTTGGGTAAGTTGATTTCATCTCTACATTTCACTCAGCCGGTTGTAACATGAATAAATTGATTCTCATACCTGATTTTACCGGTCGGTTTCTTTTGTTGCAGTGGAATATTGTTCGTGACTTTGGAACTATTATTCAATATCGTTATCTTGATACTTTGTCTTCTCTCTGAAATCTCGCCACCTCGAATTCCTGGTATGTCCACTTTCATCACCGATTTTTGCATGATACCATCTTTTGCGTGTGTCCAACATGACTTGTGAGACAGAAGCTGATATTGATCTTTCCTCATCATTATTTAGAATTTTTCGCCAATTATTTTCCTCCTCTAGGTCAAGGATTTGGTGTTGGATTCCTAGGATGTTTAGAAATTTACATTGCTAGCATCACATTATCACATAAAATCAACAAAATCTCATTAGTTTCAGCTTGGACCTTATTTGTCATTGGGTCTCTTAATGTACTTCTTGGTATAGTTTTCGGTGCTCGAATCCGTGCTAAGAGAAGTTTATTGGACGCTGGAACTAACTATGCAAAGAAGGTTACTCATCTTGATGATATTGAAACAGGATTCAAACTTGCAAAGAAAGGTAAAAAGAAAGTAAGTTCAAAGTTTTACCTTTTATATAATTTTAATGCTTCATAGAGAAAAGTACCTAGAAGATTATTAATTAGAATATGATAGAACTGACGTATCCTTTTTTTTGATCGTATTAGATGTTTAAAAATCTCCGAACTTCACAGATTGGTAGGCCTAAGGTTGTTGATCAGTCTCCTATGTCGATGGCACCAAGTCGACCAATGGAGATAAGTCGACCAATCATCGGATACACTCACAGCTCACACATGGACCCAAATAGCGCGGATGGACCATCTGTACCGGCACCCATATATAATGCGAACAAGAAAGTGTAGTAAATCTGGTCAAAAAATCATATGACTTGTCGCATATTGCTAGTGGACTTTTTTGTCTTTGGGTTTTCAATACTTTTTCTTTGTGTTATTTCTTGAGGTTCTTGATCAGTTTTAACTTTTCTTGTCAAAATCACCTTAAAATATGGATTCGCTCTTGCATCTGTGGTCCCGTGGACACTCGTTTTTGTTTATCCTTTGATAGGGTTATGCTAGTGCAATAATATTCAATCAGTGCTTATATTTTAAGAAGAAAAGATGGCTCTTCCACCATTGAATCTTACCTGATGGTAGCCAAAGCGATAATTCGTGGGCAAATGCGTGAATATAAATACGGCTAAACTAATCTAGTGTTTTGAAAGTGAGCTGACATCAAATTTGTACATGTGCTGTGTGTAGAGCTTGAGTGGCTTAATTTTTTGCCTTTCACCTGCTCGAGGAACATTATATCGTTGGTCTGGACTCAACAGAGTAGCATGTAGCTGGGGTTGAAACTACGTACTTATGAGGCTGTTTAAACTTAACATAATCCCTCACCCTCCCCTCAAGGCCTTGTCAGACGACAATGGATAACCTGGTTTACAAAGATATGGGATATGGACCTGTTTCCTCTCCAAAACATTTGAGAAGTAGGGAGCTCATGTCCTCAAAGAATGCTTTGATGACATGTTGTCCAGAAAAGATGAGTAAGGCAAAAGACCTTGACTCGCTTTGATTGTGTCAACCTGTTTCTTTCTCAAGATAATAATCTTATGATTGTAGCACAGGCTAGTGTCGCATGATTGAACAGACCACCGCCTCAAAAGGAAGAAATTGAGTGAAGTTATACAAAATTGAGACGGTGAACTCTGTGAAGCTACACCTGAGGATCAAGTGATGCTTCCCATGTCTCATGAACTTTAGAGCTTTCTCACTTATGTGTGCCATCTTAGTCAATCAAGTCTTGAAAACAATCCAACTAGCAGGGTATATCGGTCAAGGGATGTGTGATCTCAGTCTTTCTCAAACCCAGGCTTGACTTTTCAGCTTCGGCACAGAATTGTATTGTGTACATACATCCTTACCAAACCCTGAAATTTTACGATGGCGCGGCCTCCTGTCGGCTGTGACGGTTAGGTTTAAGCTCCATTCGTCTGAAAATACCACATAAAATACCCCAACGGAACGGCATCTTGCATTGATTGGATCAGGCCAGCTCATTCTCATAAAGCCCCTTCCTGAGTACTACTTAGTCAGATTGAATTGCCCTGTTGAACAAATAATATAACATATTTGACTAGGTTTGCCCTCACGATTCGTTCGAAGGTCTCGAGGTTTTGAGAACCGGAGAATCCACCTATTGACTGAAACTGACATTACTTCAGATCGATTGTGTAGTTCAATTTCCCGATGCCGATTATTCGTAACGAGTCTGATGTCGTGATTAGGTTGCTCAAATCGCAAGCAAAGATAGCTTTACATGGCGCTCACGTTTGTCAGTGAGGATTGGACGAGGTAGTGATACTTTGGCGATTTGACTGACCGATAAAAACCACAGACTCCTGGACTATCGATGATGAGGAACAATTATTCATGTCTTCCGCTACCACTATCACTGGACCAGCAGCGATCCGGTATGCATAATTGATTCTCGCAGCTCAGCAAAAAGGAAACTATGCTCACGTTCGAACTTGATGGTGCTGGGGGCAGAGGTGGTATTCCTATCTGCTTTCCAGGTCAGACTTGAAACGCAATGTGTACATGGACCTTTCCATCTATCGAAGGCATGACTGACCTCTTTGAATAGTCTTTGGCCCCCCTCCCAAGCATGAGCCATTCCAAAACCTCAAACAACATGGTTTTGCGCGAAATTTGTCGTGGGTCTTTGATGGTGCCGATGAGGAAGCTGATTCAATCCAGGCAAGATTTAGTAAGTTCCCTAGCACGTCCTGGTCCTGATACTAGTGGAGATGATGCCGTGAGTTGACGAATCTGCGACATTTCATGTGATTCGCAGGTCTGGCGACCAGTCCCGAGATCCAAAAAGTTTTTCTACCAGCCTTTGTGTGCAGGTACACTGTCACAATATCTGGAAACAGCCTGAGAACCACATTACAAGTTACGAACCCAAGCGAATCGGACTTCAACTTCCAAGCCCTTCTGCACACTTATCTTCGCCTCCCATCTGAGTGTCCACCAGCCGATGTCCTTGTCGGTTCACTCAAGGGGCTCTCGTTCGCGGACAAAGTTGCGGGCGGGAAAGTCAGTGAGGAGAAGCGGGAAAAGCTAGACTTCAAGGAGGGCGAGGTTGATAGAGTTTATGATCATGTTCCTGATGCCATTGAGGTAAAAATGGGCAACAAGAAGGTCATAGACATGAAGACCATATCTCTACCTAACGTGAGTACTGCTCGTATTCAAAGTCTATGTGATACTTACTATGGCTCCTGTCCTATCCCAGTTGACAGTTTGGAATCCTCATCAAGAAAAAAGTGATGCCATGGGTGATATGGAAAAAGACGGCTGGAAAAGATTCGTTTGCATTGAGCCTGGCCACACCAGCTTTGTAAAATTAAGTCCTAAGGCATCATGGACCGGCGAACAACTATTGACCGCTAAAATGATTGAATGAGATGGAAGATGGGATAAGGACAATCACGTAGATATTATCTTCACATCAACGGACTCTTCGCTTAATACTGAATTCCCGTAATCATATCACCCCCGGTGTGGCCTTTAACACAGCAGCTGCCAGGTAGATTAAAGCACAGGGGTAAACTCACGCATCTCAGACATGTATTGGTATCTCCACAGGCTGCTGATAAACCTTGCTAACTTTCCTAGGGGCTGATCACAGAAGGTAAAGCAGTCCAATATGTCCGCACAATGAGATGCATTCTAAAGAAGTGGAATTCTCCATCAGATATGCTGTTCTTTTCCACCTTCTGACTATGCATGTAAGACCTCATCAACAGTTCCATCTGTTTCTTTCCCATAGCCAAACAACAACACAACATTCTACCAACAAGTTTGGTTTGGATTGCAGATGCAGCATTTGAGGATATGTTGAAAGCTGATATCCAGGCCAATCCGGGTACAAAATGCTTCTGGTCTACCACCAGGTATCTTGGGACTGCAAAGTCTGGGAAACAGTCACTGTGCCCAGGTATTCTCTTCTTGTCAATGAGTGCACACAATCCCCCTTTCTCCCTCAAAGGCAGCTGGTGTACAGTTGTCAATGAGAACACACAGTGTTTTCTCTGAGAACACTTTGGACACCAATGCAAGCCAATAATGTTGACTGTGCCTGATATGTTAGCTGGGACTTGCTTGTTTGGATTGACTATATCATGGGTGATTTTTGAAGGAATCTATAAAACAGGAACATAAGATACACATTGTACAATGGATCACACTCAACAAACACATTATTGATTCAGACATTCAGTGCTCATCATAAAGTTAGGATGTGTACTTCATTTTCAATATCAAGTTTGTACTTCCAACAGTGAGACCTTAAATTTTATTGTTCCAAACATGAATGATTCCAATCCAAGGGTTAGAAATGCTCTTGTGCTTGACAAGCCTTCCATGACTTGTCATCACCTTCACCTTCACCTTCACCTAAGATGTCCTGAACACCCTTAATCTACTAACTTTCCTAAGCCCTCTGCGTCACACAAGCTTTAGCAAGCAGAGGGACTTACAGGTGATATCAGTTTTCTTGGTGACAAGCACAATGACATCTTGGTCAGAAAAATTGGTTCCAATATTGTAAAACTTTTGCCTTTGATTGCAACTTTTTTCTAAAACCCATCTTATCATTCCACATCTTCCACATCTGTCCATCTCTTTACTCTTCCTTATTTCTCTGGAGACCAAAAGTTGTTCTTGAGCTCATTTCAGCTTAATCTACAACATTCCCTTTCTGATCTCCATAGTGAACAAATCATGTGTTGGAGCCTATTCATAATTGGCACCCAAGTCTAACTCATCAAAACCCCTCACAACAGCTGGGACAGGTGCAATTTTGAGCAAGTGACTTATGCCAAAGCTGCAGTGACTAATTGTAGAAGTTTTGGTGCCCTTTCAAAATTTGGCCACATTTCACTCTGAAGCACAATGATGCTTTTACTTTTTCAGCAAAATATCTTGTTTCAACTCAAGGACCTCAAAGAGTATCCCATCTTTAAGAGACTTGAGGAAAAAACATACAATGATCTGATTGTTGTTCTATCAGTATTTTTTGTCTAGTTTGAGGTTGACTATCACATGTGTATCCCAACATCTGAAAGTCATAAACCATCCAGTTTGCTCTTGCTGTTGGCTGTAATGGCTCTGCCTTCCAGAATACAATCAATAATTCTGAATACAAAGTTTCTGGTGAAGATATAGCTACAGGCTACATGAAAAAATGCCATGTTTTCCCAAGACAATTGGATGTGAATGGGTCCAGACTCCAGACTTGGGTAAATCCTAGCCCAAATGTTTACCATCAATGGCAACAACCATGGCTCAAGTCCCATACTCAAGCCTTGGACCTGTCCAGTCAAATTGGTGTGGGCAATGGACTTGTGTTAAATTCATTTAAGTAGAGTCTGGTATCTAGAGTAAAATACTTCGGAAGATTACTCTGTAATCTCTCTGGATTCAAGTTTTCTCAAGACCCTGCCAAACCCCATTGACCTGGGAGGCATGAATCTGTGAGTTTTTTTCAAAATGGGGGTCAAACACATGGATTTGATTTTTCCAAACAAGGGTGGTTGTGTGGGTGTGTTGATTTTGGAATATCCAAAATCTGTGAAATTTGATGTAGATTTCACAAGGGTAGGAATTTTGCCAGATTCCAATTTTTTTGTGTGGCACTGGTACCCCTGAGACAATCTTGAACCAACAAACTTGACTAAGTCACTTGCGCAAGCTCCGTAAGAAATTGGGAAACTCTAGAAAAGCTCATCTTTTGTGGGTATGACAAAGGCCAAAGACAATGATTTTAGACAACCCCCTACCTAGCACTTTGCTTGGGTCTTGTTTTCTCTTTACAGGCCACACAATGGTGGACAGTCCTTTAGAATGATTCACATATCAACCTTTGAGCCCTTGATTTTTTAATTCAGACAAAGCCCAGTAGATCAAAATCTCTATAAGCTCTTGGTTTTGCTGAAATGCCTTGTCTTTTTGCCAACTACTATTGTCACTGAAGATCACTTTAGCATATGTCCGTTTTTTCTCTTTGACTTGAGAGCAAAAGTATAGCGCATACATAGGCACCTTGATGCTTCCACACCACAAATAGCTTGCTTGTGACCCCAGAAGTGTTGTCTTGCATTGTATATTAAATTGACCGCAAAAGCAAAATTTCAAGATTTCTAAGATAAGTATACCATGTCTTGATTGTGCCCAAAGCTATCCAGGGGCTGTTCAGAGTTTTCCACTGGGCCAATATCTGATGGCTGTAGCTGGCTGGTAGAGCATTTTGACTCCATACTATTTTATTTAACAATCTCTGTTTTTACACATAATTGTTGGAGATGTCTTTCTTCAACTTGTTGATACTTTTTTTTTTTTTTTTTTTTTTTTAAAGTGCGATTTTGCTTGATTGCATATTACACTAACTAAACAATTACATAGTAGGGGACTAGTACACCTTGATACTTCCCAGTGTGGGTTGGGGTGGTACGTCGGGCTCGAGGAGTCAAGGGCTGGCTCGGACCTGGTAGAACTTGTGCGCCGGCCGGTTCTCGGGGCCAACCTCAACTCACGGTTCAACTGTCGCAGATTCACTCACACAACAGAGACTCCAGAAGCAACATCACCATCAAGACTCAAGATATGGACGAGCTGGTAAGTAGCTCAGCCCCACTTTCACCATCCATTCTCTCTCGAAAGATCACTGATAACATTTTATCCGTCTCAGTGCAACTATATATATAATTCTCTGTTAGAGGAATGTGTGTGGAAGACCGCTGTATTGGAGCACAAACGCGCCAGAGACTATCGATCTTTTGTTGCTCAACAAGGTGTGAGGATTCGGAAGAGGAGCAACCTGATAATATTAAATCTCCTTACTAATTCGCGGAATGAGTTCTCAGCAGCGAACGCATCAAAGAAAAAGGCATCAAACGATAAACCTGACATCCCAATCGATTGCCCTGTTTGTTCACGCGATGTGAGCTGACAGCTTGCTTGGAAATTTTGACGGAAGATATGTTGATGTTAGTCTGGTTGAACACGTGATCCTTCCGGGTTGACCCCACAGATGTCAGCGACTCGATTTGCCCCTCATCTGGCCAAGTGCCTTAAGCTTGGTGCCCGAGGACAAACAGCTAAAAAAGGGCTTAATTCGGATCCAAGGTTAGTTATTGCATCCGATTTGGCCCCAGCCACTCCATTACCTTCTGTGCGCTATCTTCAGGGGTCTTTCCAATGAAGGGTCATGTGATATTGCTAACTCGAACCTTCTAGCAAGATCGGAGGTTTACCATACTCAGATAAGAAGAAGCTGGGGAATTCACAAAATCCAAAGAAACGTGAGCCCATGACTATATCGACTTCAGCACAACCTACGCAGGTAACTCACAATGGTCTACATCTAAATTTGAATACCAGGTGGGCGTCCAAAGAAGAATGCAGCTGGCCCTTCTGATTCTGAGGCCCTACCTCCAGGTGGCGAACGCCCGAAGAAAAATATCGTTACTACTCCAGAACGTGATGCTATGCTATCGAGTGCGATCACCAACGCCACCCAAAGGTTAACTATGCAGAAACTTACTGGTACTCAGGCTTCTTCAAATCCTGCCTCTCTCAACCGACCCTTAGTCCCACCTCATCCACTATCTCAGAGTCATATCATTCCATCAACATCTATGGCCGACAACGGAGTTCCACCACCTCCCAAAGTGATGCTGAAGCGAAAGAAAAAGAAACGCTCTCAAAGTCAACGCTCCAGACATTCATCACAGGCATCTTCATCATCAGATAGTGATTATGAAATGGTTGCGCAAGAGATGGAACAGGAGGAAGATTCCGAGAATACCAACAATCCGCATTCAAGACCAGGAGGGGTACAACAAGGAATTGAAAATAGAATAGAGCCGGTTGATACGGCTCAGAAGAAACTTGAGCAAGGTGGGCCGATGTCGAATGCTCCTCAAGACTCGCGCATCACCGGCACAGTCTCACCGGCTCCTGCCAGAGGTGCCAGTTTGGTCGATATTCCTGCACCATCTCCCAAAGTAATTCCAATGCGTGAGTCATTTGAGTAGATATGACTCAATTCGGTCTCACCCACTGTATCTTTCCTGCATGCCAACATCCTATAGGCCCGCCCCTCAAGCGAAAATCCAGCTCGCAAGCTGACTCGACAGACGGGACAGATAGTGAATGAAATCTTTCAGAACTGTCTCTACACGAGGCCTGCAGCGTATGAGAACATGCACGGAATTTGAAACACTTAGTAAGACTCGGATGGTGTATGTCTATGGTGAATTGCGGATATCATGACTTGGCTCTACAAACTCCTATCAGATTATTGAAGGTTTTGTAACCCATTAGTTGATCACACTTCAACCTGTACTCGGTTCCTTAGATCTTGTTTATGGTGTACTATTTGTTCTGAAATCCACGTGTAATCATCTCAGTATATCATATTGACTCAATCCCAGTGTGGCGTGAAGTAGAGGCACAAGTCTCAAAGAATCTGAATACGCAGCAGGAATGAAACTGAAATATCAGGAGAAGCTGCGAAAGAGATATTTTTGACTTGCTTCAGAGCTATTTGGCAAATTTTATTCCTATGGCCACCTTAATTCAGACTGAAGACCATGTAGTGACCAATGAAAAAAACATCATTTTAAGTTGAGCTTGATCTCTGTTCTACAATTCCTTCCTTGCTCAATTCTCTCAAGCTTGAAAAATCACACGTCGAAGATCAATAATTCAATACTAAGAAATACTGCAGATTTTTAATTTTTCTAAATAATTAACAAGAGGAATACAAGTCAATTAGATTTGAACAGGATATCGGTCGGTTTTCCGCGCATGGGTTTCGTTGAACATTAGCAAATCTAGGTCAATCCAAAATGAACGTTATTTGCAATTAATGGAACTACTCGAGTACTCCACTGTTTTCGCTTATGGATGGAACTGATGAGGCTATAGACCAATAACTATATATATATTACGAAATTATAATTTCTATTGGGATATGGGTGAGAAACGCGCAAAGCCTTTACCAGTGATGCTACCATCCAGATTCCAATTTGGTTTAGATTGAGAGATGATCCTTGGCTAGGATATGTTGCCATAGGTCATGTCGGGCTCTTGAGATGGGCAAGAGTATCGTTCAGTTCTTGAATTTGAATTTGAACCCATTCCAGACATGTTGTACTATTTAATGATTTCATTCAAGCCATCATTTGGAGAAAGCCAGCCCAGAATAGAACGCTCAGTCGTTTGCAATCGGCATAAACACAAGCATGATATGATAGGAATAACAAGAGATCTCACCCTTGAACAAGCCTGTGCTGGATATCTTGGATTTGCTTGTCGCCAAGTTTGCCTTGTGTGGTTCCCCGAGTCCATTCGAGCTGTAAATGCTCAGGTAGCTTTTTCACAGCTTGATTGATAGACTGAAGATCAGCCTTCATCTAATCAAATTCAGTAATTGTATCAGTTACGATTCTGAAATGATCATTGTCGAAAATAATGAATTGATACCTTTTCGACTTCGGCAAATAATCCACTTCGCGAGCCAGTCTTCTCCTCGCACCCCACTTCTGTTTTCATACGCCGCAATTCCGAAAACCATCGGCGCTCTCCCTCACTGAGAGTAGGATTGACTCGGTCGGTGAGGCGTTGTAAGATATCGTCACTTCGCTCGAGAAGTTTCTTTTGGAAATCAGTGATGCGAGTTATCCGGGCTTCAGTGCCCGTGGAAAGGGGAGACTGATCAGCGAACCGAGCCAAGGTCTCTTGAGCAGAAAATGTGCGGCTCAGCTGCCTTTCGTACTCCCGTATCTGAAGCTTCAGCCGATCTTGAGTTTCATTGGCAGCCTCAATCACCCCTCGTATTTGCCTATCGAGTTCGTTGTTCACTTCCACAATGAATCTGAATGACTTTGAGTCCGTGGAATTCAAATCCTGGGGTATTTTGATCTTTGAAAGACTTGATGGCATTGGTTGTCCGTTCAGCAATCGGCTGGGTATCCATGGCTTTGCTAGTAAGCTTGTATAAAAGCGACGATCAGATTGACCCGCGTTAATTCTTGGTGGCGCAGCTACAGGTTTCTTTCCTGCGAATGGATATGATGAAGCGCCGCCAGTTTCTGGGGTTGCAGAACCACTACCAGCGAGTGGCAAGCGAAGAGGGAGACTTGAAACAGGTCGGTGGCGTAGTGGATGGAGTAAAACTTGAAGGTCATCGAATATGGATAACAAAGCGTAGCCTAGATAGGCATCATCGATCACAGCTAAACACTGAACCCCCAATGGGGCAGATATCGACTCCGTTGATGGTTGATCGGAAGGGGCGGTTTTGATCACCCACCTCACATCAGCGCCACCTAGACCCCCAATGGTATGTTGGATGTCGCTTGATCGGATTGATCCTGTCGTAGTATATTCTTGAAATAGCCTTGTTAAAGGATCGATCCATCGAAACATTGAGATAGCTTGCACTCCAAAGCGATGCCAAAGGAAGACCACGTCGGGGTGTCTAGTATCTTTGACAAAGCGAACACCACCCGAAGTTTCATGGGAAACCACAGGACCAAAAGGATTTGGAGCGCTTTGAACATCACCAGGCAATTGTAAATCGATCGTCTCATGGGTAATCAAGGCAGGTAATATGACTTCTGTCTCATATGTCATCTTATTTATTGGAAGTGATTGCCAGTATGGCTCGACTTTGTCAACCTCGATATGGACATCGACACGATTTTGATATGCTATCATGAAAACCCCAACACTGCTCGCTGAGGGATCGAACTCAGATTGACCGGTACCAGAAGACGCTTGATATCTGATATGAATCAGATCAGAAGCAAGTTCCTCACTTTCAGGATCAAGCTCGATAGGTGACGGTTGCATAAGGAATGGACCCTGTCTCAAGGGTCTAGCTTTGAGCATCCCGTAAAGGTCTATCAATTCGTCCTTTGAGCGCAGGTTACTGGAGGCTCCGTTTGGTTGGGACTGTGAGAGTTTTTCGATTGCATTGAGAAAATCGAGAGAATAATATAGTGATTTTTGGAGAATACGTATATCTTGAGATTCTTCTGCACGCGGACTGGACTTCGATAGGGCCTCGAGTTTTGTGGTTAAGAAGAACAGCAGAGAGCTCTTGTAGGTTATAGGAAGGAGACTATTACCACAAGCAAGGCAAAATATGTGAACAGCAACCTCGCAAGATACGACTCCATCATCTTGACGGATCTGAAGGACCTCGGAGAGGATAAAGAAAGATGGTCTACTAACGCGTTTCGAGGTAGGTACGGACAGATAGCATACAGGTCGCCGTTCTCCATCAAGCCGTACAAAGTCATCGGTCCCCAGTCTCCGATCCCTGTTCCGAAGCACATGGACACCGCATTCGTCGCCGAAACGTCTTCGGCAGAGAAAGTGCCTTCTCGTCGATTTCGTGCGAGGTTTTGCGGCCCTGATGACTCCCCCCGAGTGCGAGAAGATATAGAAGGTGAATCAGCCGTGCCTAACATGCGGGCTACCAATCCTTCGTGCGTTTCAGTCATTTCTCCTGTGTTTTGATCGATGGTATGGTGAGGTAGAATGCCAAGGGGAGAATTGAAGTCTAAGATCTGCGTAGGTCTCTTGCTATCCCTCGTGATATCATATTCGTGGACCATTCCATTCGAGTAGAGAGCCAAAAGTGTACCAGCTCGATAACTCAATCCGTGCCACAAAACTTTGACAACACGCATCTTGGAAAACGCCATTGATGTCATTTCGTCTCCTACTAGACTTGATTCTCCAACCGATAACGTCTCGCAATCAAGGTAGAAGCTCGTGTCGATATGTTCATCAAGTCGAGGCAAAGCAATGACGCAAATATCGAAGTCTGAACAAATAGCCAAAAGTTGAGATGTTGGGTTGGGAACCAATTGAGTGATCGGACCCTTCGGAAAGCTCATTGAAACACTGGGCTTGAGAACCTTATAGCTGCCCTGTGGTTCGTTCGGGTTGTGAGAGCTCGCTGCTGACTTGTACTTAGCCATGGACGTCAAACGTAACTCGTTTCCGTAAGCGACAACCAGATCATTTTGATTTATCTTGACTGCAATCAACTTTGAGGAAGACGATGACTCGAGCATCCTTTCCTTTCCGTTTGAAGGTGACCCAGATGAGAAAACTGGATGATCGGGAAAGCTGGCCATCCAGCCTTCAGCTGTGTCGACTTGCATGATCAATGACTTTTTGGCGATGGGATCAGAGCTTTGAGTCGAAATTTTTCTGTCCTTCAGCTGGGTCAATGTGAATTATTATTTGCATTCAAATGATATCGCGTCCGATCGAGTTGATGATAAGAGGATGAAAGATCTTTACAAGAGTGAAGTTGAAAGTACTGTGAGAGGGCGACTAAATTTTTATTCGGATCCTTCCTGACCGTTTGTATGCGTCATGCGGACCGTGCCTGACTCGAGTCCGACGCCTTCCACTTCGTCAAGTTGACCCGACTCGCTCGTTCCCGAACAATAACATGTGTTAGTTTGATGGCTTGCAGTCCTTATGCACTTTTAAAAAAAAAAAAAAAAAAAAAAAAAGTCCATAAAGTTCATTCTTTATAACATGCCATTTTGAATCCTTCTGAAGAGGATAGTATTATCATTGTGATTTCAAAACCCCTGCAAAGTCTTCAAAATTGCGGCTCTGCTCGCACGTTGGGATAACTTGAGCTTAGGAGGGTCTCAAAAATTCCATCAGCAAAATGTAAATGTGACATGCTCACTGAAGACCATCATCAATGCCAGTCCCACTGTGGATATCTGTACTGGGGTTCTCAAAGCGCTTATCTACGAAATCAGTCCTACAAGATGGCCCAAGTCATCAAGAGGGTTATAGGGTATCTGCCCATTGTTGATTAAATACAATGTGATGTTTAGGTTGATTTGGCATTATTATAAATTGGATGATTGAATGTCATTGAGTGAGACGCAAGATTGAATGAGTAAGAAAGAGTCAAAAATATGTCCAATGGTGTTTACTATGTTCAATGGAAAGATTGGGTATAAGGTGATCTATATACTTGATATACAATATAAGGGTAACTTGCATATGTAAAATCTAACGTGATAACCTGCGCATTAATGAAGAAGAGATAGAGTGACGAGATAGCAGTGACATTCGCTAGGAATCAATAATAGCAAGCTTATCCTTTTAATCAAGAAGATGTAAAAAAGGCATCAATCGGTTTTCTATCATTGGCCATCTCCAGGTTGCTTGAGATATTCAATTTTAGTCAATTTTTCGTCAATTCCAAAAAAGTTTCTTCGATTTAGAATCCATCCAGCAACTGATGAATGACCCTGTGAAGTTGAAAAACATCATCAGAAACGTTGAAAAGATGCGATAAAACCTATTGTAAAGAACATAAGACTTACATCGCCATAGAAGAAAGCCGAACGCATGATGAGGCACTGTTCTACAATCGCCAATGTGTCTGTGAATGGAGCGCTAAATCCGAGGTCTGCTTTGTCGGTCTCATCTAACAAGTCATTCAATAGGACCACGTTTTTCGTTCTCAAAAAGGCGATCTCTTCTTTTGATCGAACATTTGTGGCGAGATAAAAACTATCGTAGGTAAACAGTCAAGGCAAGACGAGTTAGAATTTTAATGACGAAGAATGGTTTGACCACTTGGTACTTACGGATCTTCAGTTCTAGGTGCTTCTAAACTGGTGTCATAAGCCTTGTGAGCGGGTGATAAGAGTCCTGTTTCTGATTTCAATAGAGCCACTGATGCATTGATATTTGATTCTATGCGATCGTACTGCTTCGTGATGTTCTGTAACACAAAGACCCATGTTGAAACATGAATACTTGGCCTTTTATCATAGCAAGAAGGCTAGTGCGGTGACTGACCTTGGCAGTCCACTGATATGCAATAAAATCACCTCTTCTCATGTGACCAGCTCTCCAAGCCCTCCCTTGACACCGCTCACGCATCCTCTTTTCTAACTTGGCAGCAACTCGGTCATACAAGTCTGGGGGTCTCATGGCGGTTCGAACCAGCTTCTCAAAGTTTTGACGGCCCTCGAGGGTGGTCCAGAGCATTGAACCTGGTGGGAAACCGTTGTGGAGTTCACCCTACGTTCAAAATTGGGAATCAGCGTTAGCGTAGAGGATTACCACACTTTGTACACAAGTACTGACTTCGATGTGCAAGATGGATTCGTCGTAGGCGTGTAACTCATCCCACCATCCTATCATGGTTTCAACCTTGCGAAAGTATTTGGTAGGGCCATAAGGAGCCTTCATCCACCATCCATCTAGTCTGTGATATCATGTCATCAGCAAATGAGTATCTGCTTTACTGATCTTGTGCCATGATGTGCGCGAGATCAAGAAAGACCTACGTATACCCATAGGCAGTGCGATACCCATGCGAAGCAATACAACGTTCCAGGAGATCATTATCGTGATGGGAAAGTTCACCGGTCATCTGATCACCCTGGATCAAATCGTCATTCCAAGAAGGAAAGCTTGTAAGATCTTGAGCAGGTTTTGACGAGTCGCGTTTTTGTCGAAACCTGGGTTGCAATTGATCTACTTTTTGTAAAGTGGCTTGACATTTTTGAATTACTTTGAGAGGAATTGATGAAGAAAGTGTGACATTTGTATCATCTTTTGGGATGAGCGGTTCAACTGGTAGAGGTAGTCGATCAAGCACTGTTGTAGAGAAGTTTGTAAACTTTCTATATCACCGATGACACAAACGCTGTTAATGATCGTAATTGACGATGATAATGTGTCGATATCTAAGCACAGCCACTCACGCATTCGCGATCTTGCGATAAGATAGGCCATTGTTGTTGTGTTCGGACCACTTGCCGCTAGATTGCCCAAGAAGAGATGCATGCTTGGTCCCCGGGGAAGTCAATTGCAAAAATTCGGGGAGGCTGATTGAGCTGTTCCAATTGAATTGAAGGTACGGTAAATCGAGCATAACCTGTCAGAACAAATCCTGATAAGTTCAAGGCTACAATATTTCAATGCGCACTGAGAATTTCTTCGTAGCGAAATTACATACATCCAGTGGTAAAACCCATCCTTTCCAGTTTTGACTGGGTAGGAGTGGGCTTAGTATATTCGTGCCCTCATCCGGGTCGGGGTACTGTGACCGGTTAGACACGGCTATCGAACACGACTATGAATAAAAAGTCTAAAAAATTCGAGGGTGGGTATTACTGACTTGAAAGATCGACAGGAACCCCATGAACGAACATTGGTGTCAGTTTTGCGCAAACCTCACTGAGTGAGTGATCAAAAAAATGCTTCAGCCTAAAAGTTTCAGTCATGGTGCCCAATAAAGTGATATACTAACTCATCAAAATCGCAGCCAGTTGCGTAAGTGAAACCAGGGAGGACCAGCTCTCTTCCTAGTAGGTTTGCAATCAATAATCCGGTCTCTATAGTATATCGCACGTTGTTCCACCCTAACCAGGGTCTTGAGAGTAGAAAGTTGTCGGAGGAGGAGAATCAGATTGGTGACAATGTACGATCGTGTGTACAAAGTTCAAAGACTCACGTCCAATCTCTCACAAGGAATTTTCGATCTTTGATCGGCTTGGAAGGTGGTGGTTTGTATGCCAATGAGCCCAGCGAAGAACTAAATGCATCGGGATTTTTGGAAGCGCCAAGCTTGGTAAGTCGGCGAGAATCATGGGACCAAGTGGAAAGTGTTGCACTTTCAAATCGGGAGAGCCATGTAATCATCAAGGTTAAAAAAGTAAAACAGGCGATCAGAAGAACTGTTGATTTGAAGGTTAATCGGCGTGGTAAACTCCGAATGTAGGACGTCGTGGCCGGCCGATTGAGTAGCGGATATTGGGTGGAATCCATTTGATATGCGAGGTTGAGATTGTCTTGATTGATGATGATGAATGAACGGTCGTAGACTTTTGGAAGAAGTTCTTCAAGAAAGTTGCCAATAGTTTGCGGTCTGTTGATTTGTGCGAGTACGGTACAGGTCGGCCTCCAAGAAGTATGGCGGACGCCTGAGGCAGAGCCAACTACGATGTGCCTGACCAAGCGGGACCAACCGTCAAATGTTTCTATGAACCAAGGCACAACTGTTTGTGTATAGTTCTTGAAGCCGCCGAGGTCGTTCGGCCTGAGTTGGTAAAATTGATAATCTGCGGAAACCCAGGACACGGCAAGACTTGCGATAGACCGGGAACGGCTGGAATGAATAAGTTTTTTGGCCGATTGACTGACTTTCAATTGCAGTGCCCAGTGATGTTTAAAGAGAAGTGCGGCAAAAATGTGAAGGACGCTCTCAACCAGAGTTATATATGAACAATAGGTGGCTGAGAAGGTGCAGCGGCAAACTTAACAGTACAGCGGGGACAGATTTCGCAGGATAATAGAGAGAAGGCGCAGATTCGAGCGATTCGTTATTACTATTTTGTCGATATGGTACTCGTTTTACCAGATTTTTCACGTTTTCGCTTGCAAAGTAGACAAAGGAAAGAATCCGGAGCTTCATGGAATTCGTGAGCCTTAAGTTCAGAAAACGCCTAAAATACAAATTTCTCTTCATCAAAGCATTGCTTATACTTTTGGATTTTTTGAAAAAGTTTTAGAAAGCCTTTCCTGAGAAGCACATCTTACTGAAAATAATTAAAATTTGAAGCGCTGGGACGCAATAGTACAGAAAATCATAGGCACTTTTTGGTCAACTTGAACCCCTTGAAGTTGTACGATGAGTTGTGACTCGTGAACATTGCACAGCACCGCAGGGCAGTGTGCTGACTGTCTGACGATTCGAGTCACACGCCCCTACCCGCTGGGATGTGAGAAAATGGTGTGAGAGACACGATGTTGTTGTTGAGGACAGCACTGGTGGAATCCTTTCTTTCATTGACATTTTCAGACTTGCAGGTTGCACGTACCTTCAAAAAATTGTGGTAGCTCATCACTTTCTCTCCCCTTTGCGCCGTTCGCTAGCGCCAGATCCGGTTACACATGAATGCTACGAATGCATGTGTACTTCACAAATGGAGCCTGGAAATGTATGTACCGTCTGAGTCTCGCTAATCTGGTTTTCTCTGGCGCCCTCCGGAATATCATACCTTAAAGCCTCATCACAGCACATCCCACAGGCTCACAGCCCCATACAGAGTTTGAACCTTGCTCCGAGGCCAAAACCTCAGGGGAACCGGGACGACCTCGCTGGCATATCTTGGTCTCAAAAGACATGTATTCAACATACTGTGAGGTTAAAGATATATTCAAGATGCGATTATTGGTGTAAAGGACCTCAAGAATTGGCAAAGATTTGCACGTCGACTTACTTGCCACACGTCGGTTTTGCTAATGGAGAAGTTATGTGTAGCATCAGATTCCATGCCTTGGTGCTCAACATTTGCTTTATGGAATGAGTAAGTCCTGTACCGTGATTTGATGATTTACCCAGACTATCAGTAAAATGGTTACATGCAAGGAAACTTAAAAGGAGGGGACATTGAGGGACATTGCTAGGCAGTCCAGTACATCAATTATGCACCAAACCTAAAGGTAGAATGCAAGCAAAACAACTCACTTTGGGCCTTTCGTTTACTCTCAGTGTTGATACAGATACGATATATAAACAAATATGCGAAAAGGAATATCAAGCCTCTTTCTTGGCACGCTTCAAAGCAATCACTCTGACTCGCCCGGATCTTCATCGCAGTTTGAGCTACAATGCACCAGGATACACCACGTCAGTACTGAGCGAGTGAGAAGATTGTCATGAAGTGGAGCACTTACACATAGGTTGCTTGGGTAGTGATACGATGGACCGAAGTTGTAAGGCTATGGATTGGAACCTGCAAGGACCGCAATCATCAATTAGTACATTTTTATTATCTAGTCGCCCAAAGGTGATGATTCTTCTGCGTACCTGACACGCTGACGCAGCTATGATGTGTGGATTGCTCTGACTCCAATGTTCTGGAATAGGTTCACTTTTGTCCACGTAACTAAGGATAGTGAAGGAACCTATGCAAAGTAACCATGATCAGCCTTCAAGGTTTTGACACAAATACACCCAGGCCAGAATACCTACATTCGTTAGGTTTGAGTTCAGGTAGGAAAGTCACAGAAGAAAAGATTTGACGAAAGATCTGCAAGGCTTCGGCTTGCATATCATGATCAGAGCGAGTTAATTCGATTTGAGTTGATGGTTCAGCATTGGAATCTGATTCTGATAAGACACTATCTTCCGAGGCACCGATCTCAAACTGCCAACGTTCCACAGTTTGTTGTGAATCTTTTGAAACCAAAGCCAACACTACCCTTGAAACTTTTCCATTCTCGAGCCACGCTAACAAATTCAACAATGTAGATGATCATCAATAACGATCACAGTTCGGACTGAAAGACATCTTTATCAAAGGAATCAGTCGAATACGTTTAAGCTGAGTTGTGGTACGTTTGATGTAACTCTTCAAGTCTGGATCGACTAACATCGGTAAATGGATATCGTAACGTGGTTGCCATTTGAAATCTTCTTTTGGATATATCGATCTGAGCCCTAGGATAGCATTGAAGGCGTAGTATAGAAATTCGCACACGATAGCAGTTGAATGAAAGACATTCGTCTTGACTTTGACCACGCGATCGCGAGCGTTAGGGACCCGACGAGCTGCTCGAATCGGTTTGGCGAGTGGCATGTTGATAGAGAATAAACTAAGGCTTCAAGCTAGTTAACAATCACGCATCAAAGAAGTTGCAAAGCGAAAGAAGGATCCCACAGGATTTCGATGGAGATCTACAATAAGGTTTCCGCACCTCGTCTTGACTCGATGCGCGTCCAAAGTCACACTCAGGGGCGGCTGCGCTGGACATGCGTCGGCGCGCCCGGATCTGCCAATTTCTGAAAGGAAGCACGAGGGTTGCACGAAATGTGAGGCTTCAGCGCTATCCTTCAACATACGATGGTGACAAACTTATACATCGTATGCTCGCTCTCGTAATTTGCACGTAGAGGCATCTGGGCTCTGAACAAAGCAATCGCTTAACCACGCGTGGTGAGGGGCTCACTTAAGCTTAAATATTAAGGCAGTGTAGCTCGAAGAAGTATGGCACTGCAGCCTGAAGGTGCAAGATGTCATCAAGGAGAAAATCTCATCGCACGTTAAGTTTTATTAAGCTGAATGAGAATGAAACTTTGATAACAATGATTTGATCACAAAGAACCTAAACAGATTGAGATGATGGCGTAACATGAAGGAGAAAAAAAATTGATTAAGCTGAAGGATGAAAATAAAACCTTGACAACAAGTAAAGCAGGTCTCTGAGTTAAATTGAGTTGAGGGCGTAAAGCAATTAGGGAACAAGCCTAGAGAAACTGGATTAAAAAACAATTAACTCCCTAAGATGGATGATGGGATGGTTTCAAATGTGTTAGATTCTGGATAAAGGGAAAGTCAATTATGATGAGAAGACGTATCATTACCATTTCGGGGTGAGTGATTACACAAGTTCATGATTTAAATTTGTTTGGTGTCCTACAAACAGCACAAGAGGATATGAGTAAGGAGTTCGTTGGGAGTGCGCATAGGGGATCACACTCACCGCCTTGAGTTCTTGATCTGAAAGTAGGCTAAGACTGTTCCCGATCCCTCCCACAAGACCACCAACATCGCTCACTAAACCTCCTACCGCTTGACCGACACCACTCACGAGGCCACCAACACCTCCTAAGAGACCACCTAAGATGCCCGTGTAGTGATTTTTTTTTTTTTTTTTTAAAGTGCATAAGGCTGTATTGCATAAACACTAGCTGAACAAGTTAGGAAAATGGAGACTTATACCTTGGAGAGACGGCATTTAGTCATAGCAGTAGTTCGGATGTCTTTAGATCTGGGGATTTGTTCTTCTTTTTTTTTTTTTTCAAACACCTTTATGTGAGCACGTCCCTACTGGGTTCTCAGTGGATTTTTTTTTCCACCTCTATGCAAACACGTCCCGATTCGGGTTCTTGGTGGAGGGATTGTCTATAAGGCCTATTTCTTCACACTTTTTTGGTGTGTCTTTCTTTCGTTCTTATATATATATATGTATATATATATTTACTCTTTAATGAGTTGGTAGTTAGTGATTTTCTTCAAGCACCTTTATGTGAGCACGTCCCTATTGGGTTCTCAGTGGAAATCTATCACACCTTTATGCAAACACGTCCCATTGGGTTCTCGGTGGAGAAATAACTCATGAATCTGTATCCTTCGATCTAAGACATCCTTTTTCTGCCCTGCAGCCGTTCTCCTCGGTTTTGCTCCTGTAAGAAAGAGTGAACATGTACAAATCTTTTAGTCTCTAAAATGAAATCTGCTAACAACGGAAAAACTTTGGGAGAATCCAGCAGCTTCTGGGAACTGTTCCATTCGACCTTAACTTTCTCCTTTCTAATTTTAGCTCTCATTGATTTATGAGCTTTAGTGTATCGCCCGCAAAATAATAGGAAGTGTTGAGTGTTCTCCTTTATGCCACATTTAGTACATAGAGGAGATGAGGTTAGTTTCCTTTTAAATAAATGATCGTTTAGAGGGCTGTAACCTGCTCTCAATTGAAAGATTGCTGCTGTAGCGCCTTTCTCGAGTTTTTCTAAACCTTCTGCTATGGTTTTTGAGTTCGTTTTGTATTGTTTGTTCCCTGGCTTAAAAGGAAAAAGTCTGATATTGGTTAGCTCTTTTGTTCTCTTTCTAAGACTACCTAAGCTTGTTTTAAAAGGTATAGTCCCAACTTGATTGCTCGCTGCTTCGCCAGCAAGTTGATCTGCTAATTCATTTAATTCAGTACCTTCGTGCCCTGGTGTCCAGTACAAGTGGATATCTGCGGTTTCCGGTAATTGTTTGAGTTGTGATCTGATTTGGATCAGGATATGTTGTCCTGACGAGGGTTTAGGGATGTTATGAATAAGTTGCAGAACACCTTGGTTGTCACTGAAGATCGCTAAGTTCTTTGGCAATGGATTCCGGCGTCTAAAGAGTTCGTTGGCAAGCTCCGCTGCAAGTAATAGCCCCATGAGTTCAGTTTCATGGTTGGAAAAGTTATCTTGATAGGTGATTGCTTGTGCGCGGTTAATGTACTTTTCCACCGCTGCTGCTCCACCACCTTCATTAGTGACCGACCCGTCCGTGAAAATCACCAGGGCTTTGTTTCCTTCTTCCTCAAATTTGATTTGATCCACGGTTTGTTTTTTGCTTCCTCTCTGGTCAGGCCTAGGTTGAAGACTTCACCCATATTCTTGGTCCATGGGGCTATTGGGTGAGGATAAATGATTTCTATGTCCTCATTAGCTAGTTTCATGAAATCCGTTTTCCGAATGACATCTTGAATGGGGCCTCTGTGAGTCTTGGGGTTGGACTGGAGCTCGTGTTGGATGAAGGTTTGGGTCGGGTGATACTCGGGAGCTGTGAGTCTCTTCAGTAGGAAGTTGTGGTGCCTACGGGTTGCTAGCCAGGAGAACGGTGGCATGTACACATCGTGAGCTACCATGTCACTAGATGTTCCTTTCATCGCACCAACCGCTATTCTATTTGCGTTGTTTTGGATTGTTTCTAGTACTTTGTTTACCTTGCCAATCGTTTTCTGTGTAGTCCACGCAACACTACCATATAAGACTCTTGGGATTAGGATTTCCATAATGAGTTGTTTTACTTCTTTTGTTGCTAATCCTGAATAGCACTTATTAAGTCTTCTTAATTGTTGTAATGTGAATTCAGCTGACTTTTTAACGTGCTGGATGTGACTGTTGAAGGAAAGCTTGGGGTCTAACCATAATCCGAGCCACTTTACCTCTCTTTTTGGTTGGAGGGTGATAAGGGAATTACATTTCTTTTATTTGTGAAGTGCATTAGTTGCGCTTTCTTCTTGTCAAAAATGGCACCGTGGCGTTTAGCCCATTCTAGTGATTTATTGGCATGAACCCCAAGTAGGTTGAGATTATCCGGAATTGATTCCGACGCTACGACATGGACTATGTCATCTATGAAACCGATGGAGAGTTTATCCAACCGCGGGTCAGGTTGTTCTTTTCCAAGGATCTCTGAGTTGTAAATGATGTACAGAATGACCGAGAGAGGGGATCCCTGGGGTAGTCCATTCCTGATTGGGAAGGCTTCCGAAACAAAGTCTTGAAGTCGCATGTTGGTTGATCAATTGGTGAGGAATCCTTGGATGAGGTGTAGCAAGTAAGGTGGGCAGTTGTTCTGACTGAGAATAAACAGTAGTCGTTCCCGGTGGACCGAAGGGTATGCTGACTTCACGTCTAGGAATAGAGCAGTGACCACGTTGTTCTTACGCCACTTTTCCTTGATCCATGATGTTAGGATCGTCAAAGTGTCTTCTGTGCTATGTTGGCGCCTGCCTCCCATATGGCATGGTGAGATGATCTTGAAATTTTCAGCCCAATAGGTTAATCTACTTGTGATTAATTTCTCTAGAATTTTCCCCAGGCAGCTAAGAAGGGCAATTGGTTGATATGAATTTGGTTTTGCCTTTTTGTTTGGAGATTTTTCAACTATTCTTTTCAGTTCATCCGACTCAAGTTTGGGAAAAGAGAGGTGGGTGGTTCTAGTTAGATGGTGTTGATGATCCGGGATATCAGATAAGTCAGCTTCTATATGAGCTATCGATGTACCGTAAAAGAGGAGTTCCGCCTGTGTGTCTTTGTCGGTGGTTACTGATCCATCCTTTTGAAGTAAGGGGGCCACTTCGCCTGATGCTACCGGTTTAGTGTATTGGTAAGCTTTAAAAGTGGTGTTGCCCGTGCTGTTCGCTAGAAATGACTTCCAGTGATTAGCTTTCGAGAGTAACACATGAGCTTTGAAGTAGTCTTGCCATTCTTGATAACATTTGTGAGCCTCCGGTAGATTAGATCTGACCATCCATCTTCTGGCTCGGGTTCGATTCTTGAGGATTGGGTTGAGTTGTTCTTTGTTCCACCAGGCCTTGTATTTTCTCGGATTTGTTTTTACCTTTCTACCCTGTTCTTGGGCTGCTTCAAGGATTATTTTGGACAAGTTGTCGGTGCCAGTATTGATTTCATTTTCGGACGAGTACACTGTTGGGAGTATACTTGATTTTTGTTTGATCCTACTATGGAACAGATCAACATTTAAATTACTGCATCTTCACAAATGCTTGTCCAATCAAAGCAAAAAAAATTGCTGCCGGTTGGACCCATTTGTGAGCTGGACCGTTAATGAGGGTATGTGCACAATTGGGGCTTGAGTTTTTCTAGCCCTGAGCTTTCATTTTGGTGTTACTTGAGCGAAGAGCCAAAGAGCTCTGCCCAGATCACAGCTCAGTTTTGATCACAAATCTATCAGCCTCCATTTGATTCAGAAACCACATCAACCACAATCTCCACCAACAATGCCATTTGTCAAGTACACCCCTCGAATCAAGGCTCTTGCAGTTATCAAAATCCTCGAAGGCAAAGCCACTGACGAGATTCGCAATGAGCTCCATGCAGACATCTGTGAATGTTCTTTCAAACGTTGGATGGATCTGTATCAAGAAACTCGGCAAGTCATCAGAGATCCTGAAGGATACCAAACTCGAGGACGAAAAACTTTGC